TATGGAGCAATAAACAGCCAGAGAGATATACTTAAAAAGAAAGTGAGAAAACAGGCGTGCTATAAATGAAACGGATATCACATTGTAGACGGTGGAAATATTCAAAATCATAGAATAAACTGCGAAACTCACAGTACATCTTATCGGGTCATTAATTATGAATACGACGATAAAAATACAACAGAAATGATGATGTTTAATATTTAAATAGAAATAATATGGAAAATACTCAATGGGAATAATTTCCACACTGCTAACACCTGCTAACATTTTCGTCGTTCATCTCCGCTGACTTCACTGTCGATGGTATTGGTGTAATGGTGTAATGGTGGTGTGGTTGCAACTACTACTACTGCCTCAACCAAGAGCACACAACATACCGAAAACATGTCCATGAGCAGAACGACGTGATACCATCTTTTTTCCTGAAGTGAGATTATCGCAATCACTTTGTTTGAATTAGGGAAAATTTCATTTTAAAGAACATACCGCATCGTGTTCCGCTGCTGTTTACTCTCTTTCCATGTATCTATGTTTCCTCCCTGCATGCATTTCGATATTTTTAACAACAATGTTGAGTCAAATACGTATTTGTTGCAGTGAAATTGGGTCCTAACATACCGTTTGTTCCGATAAACATAACTGAAAACAACTGTTAATGTGCAACAAATCAAAATGACATGAAATATGAAATGCAATGCTTGGTGCGTTCGAACAATTACAGTAGCAACCCTTCCCTATTTTTTCATGTTATTTTTGCCGACTGACTTTTGAATTTAGTTATTCGAATCGACGTAAGTTAACATGGAAATAAAACGAGATACTTTTGCAGCTAATGCAGGGCACAGCGATAATAAATTATCAACCATTAACTTTGTAAGTTATCTAGCGCGAAAAAAAATGGATCAACCTTTCCTAATTAGCACAATTTAGAATAAATTTGCTTAACTTCTGCCTCCTTCCTCCTTCTTCATTCACGATTCAGTTCATCTTTGTTCAGTTCTATCCGTTTGACTTCATCGTAATTTTTTGATTATTCTCGGCGATTTTTCCAAAATCGTAAAACATGAATAGACCAATTTTCGATCTCATTTCCTCTTACAAGTTTCATATTCTTCGTGCTTGCAAAATTCGTACATACATTATCTGCTTGAATATCGTTTATACTTACAACGATGCAAAAGCCAAATTACCACTTGGAGACTCATGGTTGGCGCGCACTTTTTTTCTTCTGAATTTCGTATCGGCTGCTGTGGTACTGCTGCCACTGACTTTCTAGTCACACAAAGTGTTGGTAATGGTTTTCCATTATGTCTGTGCATGTGTGTACTTAACTCGAACGCGAGCATTATCTTCGTTCCATTCAACAATGGGGAAAGAAGACGAAAACGAGAACGAAAAATGAGAAAAACAATTCGTCCGGAAAATTAACCTCACGCCGTTCATCTATTATAGTTCTAATACTAAACGATTCGCTTTCTCTATCACTCTTGTACTCGATCCTTCTGGGTTCAATCGTATATTTTTTTCTTTTTCTTCTCCATGGATTGTTAAATCGTTTCTATCTGCCGTAAACAAGGACAACATAAATATAAATGCAATTGTGTTTTGCACGATTCGTATTATACGATCGAGAAGATGGAAACTCCAAATACAATATCCGATAATGGCACAAGTAGACTTATGTATAATATGTGATAAATACTTTTCTTTTGGATAAGAATTGTCTTTTGTGTTCTGTATTTTGCTTTTGCCTGTAGCTTGATTTGGATTAATATAAATTCGTATATCACACTCAAATTGACACGCCCTTCATTCGTTTGACTCGCAAGAAGTTTATAGGGAAAAAAATCGTTGCATTCAAATTAACTATTGGTCTGGGAATTAGTTTTGTCGATTTTTTTAAATTTTCAAACATTTATTTGAATACCAAAATGAAATTACATTTCAATCAAAATATTGTCCATCGGAAGCGATGACCTTCTGCCACAATGTGGGCAATTGACGGATGCCTGCCTTAAAAAATTCCTCATCTTTTGAGGCTATAAATGCATCGAGCCAATTTTGGATTTCTTCAACTGAAGAGAACCGCTCTCCGTCCATATGGTTTTGCATCGATCGAAACAAATGGTAGTCGGAAGGAGCCAGGTCTGGGCTATACGGGGCGTGAGCCAAAACTTCCCATCCGCTATTTTCCAAGTAGTTTTTGACCGATTTCTCAATGTGTAGCCGAGCATTGTCATGTAGGAAAATCAATGTCTCTTTTCTGGTCTCCCATTTCGTGCGTTTTTCTTTGATAGCTTGTTTCAAACGTATCAATTGTTGTCGGTAGAAAGGCCCATCGATGGTTTGACCACTTCTCAGCAGCTCATAATACACCACTCCCTCCTCATCCCACCAAATAGACAGCATTACCTTGTCGCCGTGAATTTCTTATTTTGGCTGTGATGTTGCTGGTTGGCCGGGCTTAACATACGATGCTTTGCGCTTGGGGTTATCGTAATGAATCCATTTTTCGTCACCAGTGACAATTCGATACAGAAAACCTCTTTTTTTGTGCCTTACGAGCAGCATTTCGCAAGTCACTAAACGCCTTTCAGCTTGCGCTGGCGTCAATTCATGTGGTACCCAATTTGACAACTTGCGAATGAAACCAAGGGCCCTTAAACGATATCCAACAGTGCTTCGGTCAACATTCAATGCTCTGGCAAGCTCATCTTGAGTTTGACTCGAATCTTCATCGAGCAATGCCTCCAATTCCGCATCTTCAAACTTTTTTGGCTGGCCGGGACGTTCCTTGTCTTCCGTGCTAAAAACACCACTTTTGAACCGTGAAAACCACCGTTCACATGCACGTTCCGATGGAGCATGCTCACCATAGGCTTCCACCAACATTCGATGCGCTTCAGCCGCAGTTTTCTTCAAATGAAAGCAAAAAATTAATGCTTGCGGGAAATGTTGCTTTTTCGGTACAAAATTTGACATATTTAAGGCGCAAAAAAAAATGTTTATCCAAACTTCGATGAAATGATAGATGATGATTTTTGTAGTTTGACACTAGGCCACTCATGTGAAAAAGAAAAAAGTATTGCCCGATACAACCATGCAAAGTTACGCCATCTTTTGAAAAATCGACACGATTAATTCCCAGACCCAATAACTCCTTAGGTTTTTAAATATAAAGAAGTAGGTGAAATGAACCACACAAATCGATATATCAAACGATGATTACTCTGCAACAATGCCATCATATACATGTTCAAATATTTCAGGCAAAAAATTCACCCTTGGAAAAAACACTCAGTTAATCTTTTCGAGAATGAAACGCTCTTGTTCACCATAAATGCGATTTAAAATTTTATTTCAATAAAATGAAGAGAATTCACCGAATGACAGGTAATTTTAATTAATTGACTGAAATCCACGTGGAACATTTATCAGTGTGGTTGAAGACACTGACTATGGGACTTTCAGACTAGCTGAAAATCAGTATGACATCTTTTAGAAAACTGATAATCCGACGAAATAAATATTTACATCCATAATATATACACATATCCAAACCCTAATATTCACTGAAGAATGCTGGATTTCTCTGGCCAGCAAAGCATAAGGTTTGCAACAAATTAAAGGACAAAAATTGGTAACTTTTCTCTCTTTGAATTTAATTTGGAACGAAAATGAACCCATATACTAAATTAATCATATTAGTATACATGGTGTGCAATTTTTCATTCGATGTGCAATTTTTCTAAGAAAACATATCATTTTGCACACCAAATGCAGCATTATACAGCCTTGAATCAAATACATGGTTTGTGACAGGAACTGTAACTCCGAAAAGGACAATTTATGAAGAGAAGAATGGTACTGATAATTGCCAAAATTTATCATTAGCTATGGAAATGTTATATTTCTTCTCAGAATATATCCTTCTAAAAGATACAAATCCATGATTAACTAAAAAAGATACAAACTAAAAAATACATTTGGGAATGAAGCAGTGTTTGGCAAAGATATCTTATCTATAAGATATCTTCGAGTAGATAATATCTCATATCTTATCTAGATAGATTTGGTGAGAGACCAACCACATTTATCTTATCTTTATCTAGATGATTTTTTTTTTGTATTTGCCAAACACTGGAATGAAGTACAAATCTAGCATGTGTGTGTTAAAATGTAAACTTTTTTATAAATACACACATAGGAAACATAACCATATGTTCAATGGTGCTGACATCTACTTTTGCGATGAATTCTATCGAATTTGTATATGCCAATACCATTAAATGTATTGTTTGACTCGGTTTAACTATTTGTCATAAATACTTTTTGTGTGTGCAATACTTTTTTTTCCATAATTAATTTCATAATAGAATCGTAATAGTGTACTCACTCAGAATTACTTCGGCGACATGTACGACCATATACTATTACCAATACTAATTTGTTACACAGTTTACAAAATACTATTGGTAATATTGTCGCACAGCAGAGCCGATACAATGCAAATAAAATCACTATGCTCGCCAATAGTAATGGTGGTGATCTGTAAAATTACCAATACAAGTCGTACATGTCGCCGAAGTAATTCTGAGTGAGTAATAACATCAAATTCCTGCAAATGCAAACTTCGCACCTTGACACAGTGATACATCTATATCTATTTATAAGACGTCAAAGAATTCACCGGTCAACCCCCTCACTTGAATTTTTTTTTCTCGGCACCTCCCGGCCATAAATTTTTTCGCGGAGGAAATTTCGGAAATTTACACTAGATTGAATTGATTTCCAAAAGTGACGACCGTTTTTGAGTCTTCAATTATTTTTCCGCGAAAAAATAATAATTTACCCCCCTCCTTATGGTTCTGACCGTGCACCACTAAGAATCTACTATAGTAAATACTCTGCAATATGGTCATAAATCAGCAATGTCATTTAACTAGAAATTAAAATCACTGTAGATATTCTGGGCACACATGAAGAAACCAAATAAATGAGTAAATAAAATAAACGCGAATGCATACTTTCTCTATTCATATTTGGAGTCGAAAAACATACGTTCTTTTGCGTCTTATCAAATATGAATTTGTAGACTCACAATGTTGTAATGTATGCAATTATATACTTGAGCATTTGCCATGATGTTGGCGCCTCCAAGCGCATGAAATATGAACTAATAATACTACATAGGCTAAGATTGTTGAACGTTTTTCAAGCGTTCGAATTGAATACATTTGAACAAAAACATCATGACTTAAATGGCGTTTAATATGATTGATTCCACACAAGTTGTGACATCGGAATTAGTGAAGATGAAAATAAGATATAGATTTGAAATCTGATTTTCGTCTCCACTAATTCATATTAGCGTGCATCGTATTCGTAAATGACCAAGACAGGAAGTGCTGAATGTACACTTTTAGTTATTGGTTTTGCTATGTCAACCCACAATATTTGTATAAATTTGATTTATAACTCTGAACGCACTCAACACTATAAGCGATTATCTATGAGCCCCGAGGCATGTACAAAAATCATAAAATCTGTTCCCTCAAGACCTGAGATAAAATATCCACAGTTCATCAATCTCCATCTACAAATCTTCTATGCAATCTTATTGTTTTTCCACACGCGGGCTAATCCAGAATTTTTAAAGTAAAGCATACCAAGAGCAAAGCTGAAAAATGGAAATCTCAACTCTGATCACATCGTAATAAATCAGTACTATCTAGCTCAGGTACCTTAATAATTTCGAATGCGATGTAAGCAAATGATAAATGGTTTTGTTTCTTTTTCGTTTACTCACAAAAATGCGTGTTAGAATGATACTGTCGAGTTTAAATTTATCTGAATTGACTATAAATCGCTATATCGAAAAAATAAGTGGTCATTGCAGTGCTCACAATATACATCGCTTATAATGCTATTAATTTCGTTTTACAATTGCTTGCCTCCCATTTTTCTTGCAATTTTTCTTTTTCCAAAGGATCGGGTTGCGTCTCGCTTATGCTCGTCTGCAAAATTAAAGAGGAAATTTGCCACGTTAATTTTCGAAATTGATTTGTGTATGCATACAACCATGAAAATGTTCACTTGTTGGGAAAAAAAAAATCTATTATTACCTTCGATCCATATTTTCGGGGGTCCAGGGCACTGCCAAGATTGGCAGCAAATTTTGATAGTGGACTTGTTAGTGTCTTCAACTGCTTTATAGCATTTTCACTTTGTGAGTTAGGCAGATGTAGTTTCAAGTCTCGATTAGCCGACAAACCACTAGAACAATGATTTTTTAAATTTAAATTCGTGCAACTAAATTTTAATATCCAACCAAGTTACCTTGAAAGGTCTTCACCAAATGTTGAATCACTACTTCTCATATCAGCGAAACTGTGACACATTTTCAACCCATTATTCTTCTCGTATTTGTCGTCAGTTTCTTGGACGTTAATTTCAGGTGTTGCGGGTGATTTGTCCGATATATCTTTTATTTCAAGCATCTCTGGTGGTAGTTTTACGTTATCAGTCACCGAAGAAATTGAGATGCGAGCTACATTTTCTAAGTTTTTATTATTGCTCGGCTTGCGTATCTCTGATTGGTTTTGTGTTTCTGCCATTTCGGCTGCATCGACCATAACAATTCCAACACTTTGTAGGAATGAATTATCGTTATATTTGCTTGAGGACTCGCATACGATAGTCGAATCTATTACACTGTTTTCTGCATTACTGCATATACTGTCATCATGTACCACTTGCACGGTATATTTTGCCGCGGATACCTCGTCGGCCGAAGACACGGTACTATTGCTTGCCGGAATGTTTTTCTTTCCCGTCAAAATTTTCGGATTGAATGTATGACCTAGTTTGGAGAACTGTTCAGCAACATTGCTAACCGCTTTCGATCCAGCTTGTACGAGTTGTGACTCAGATAAATTCCGTTGCATTCCATTTGGAATGTCTAGTGTGTGCGTTCGACTCTTTCTGCGCTTTATCTGGCCACCACTTGTGAATTTGACATGATCATTTCCGCAGTTTTCCAACGCCATTCGAAAACAGTCCACAATAGCAGCCAAAGATTCTTCATATGAAATTTGGGAGAAAAAATAATTACCTTAATCACAAAATGAAGTAAAAAAAATAGCCCATACCTATGATCTCTTCCTGTGTTTTTATAACAACTGCAACGGTGTTGAAGAATCGTAATGATGCTGATCGTAACATGTGATAAAATTGATCGATTCCATCCACGGAATAGCTGATTCGAAGGCAAAAATTTGGTGTTGGGGTAATTTGAAAGATTTTCGAATGCTGGTACCAGCCCAATTCAATTTCTGTGATGTTTTCAAGTGCAACTTTCTCAAATCGAACAACTTTGTCCATATTTGAATCATATTCAGCGATTAAATAGCATTCAGCCGTGAGGAGCAAAATTGTATCAACCTCTGTCTCATTGACGTCTCCCGTACTAAAGAAATGAGTTTAAAATTTCATGAATAAAAATATATGGCTAGAGTACAAGAGTGAGTTGGGAAAAGTAAAATCGCAATTTACTCATACATTGGATCAGCATTAATGAGACCCCATGATCCCATTGGTAATTCAGTTAAACCAAGAAGCATGCGTCGACAGTCTTCAACCAACTGACGTGCATGATCACACGCCTCAGAGGCCTCTGTGACATCTTCTTCAATTAGATTTTGAGTGTCCATATTTAACAATGATTCCGTTGAAACAGGATTCCCAAGCATTACGTCAATTGTATCTTGTCGAAAAGAGTCCTTAAATCGTGCTAGATAGTAGCTATGAACAGAAAAGGTGTCAGGGGAAATATCTTTGAAATTAATATTACGATTCAACAATTGTAGCTTTATATGTTTTTAAACACAATTGACTTGCTTGAGCCACCTTGTTGATTTAAGAATTGATTCAGTCAATTGAAGTTCATTGTTTAATGCTCCATAATGATAAAAATTAGACATTTCAATAGGAGATTCAGCTATTGACGCCAACACTTTGAGAGTTTCATTAAATTGAAGCTCATCTCTTCGCGTAATATTGCCTTGCATCAAATCGATCATGCTCTGACGAAATGTATCATAGAAATTTTGAATTATATAGCTACAAATGATGAATCACGATGTTAGCGAGCATATATATAAGGAATATATTTCAACATCCATAAATCTCCATGTTTTAAATTAATTAAATTTAATGCGTACCGATTAGCTGAATTCATTCCATCTTTGACCAATCCAGCTAAATTTCGTTCTCCCGTTCTCGTATAATCTCCCTAAATCATGAAAACATTCAAAGAAATTAATTCATTTGAAATACTGACAGCGGACGCAACGGTCATTCATCAAAGTTCGATTTAATTCTTTTGCCAAAAATGAACAGTTCAATCTTTTTTTTTAACATGATCACATGAAATATTCATACCTTCAAAGCATTTGTACCGGCATATTGACGGCTAATTATATCTCCGTTATTTGCCCACAGCAACATAAAAGGTATTTTCAATTGATCAGGAACCTGTATACAGATTGCAAAACAGCAAATACAAAACATTCAATGAATCATTGATTTTGTACGAAGGTTTCGGGTCATACATGGACAGAGGAGGGGGTGAACTTATTTCTTCTGGATTGTATAAATCTTTATTTTCTTCAATCCTCAATCAAGTATCTTTTAAGTACATAAACGTACTTAAGAGTACTTGAAAGAATTAAGTCGGTGCTATTCTTACTGTCGGATACTTTTGACGAATACTTCCAATCGATAAATCTCATCAAAGTGCTATAAAAATTCCCTTATACCCAAAAACCATACTCTCAAGCGAGGTTTTAGGCTACTTTGATGGGATCTATCGATTGGAAGTACCCCCGTTGCCCTTTGATCCTCCCCCTCTTTTGAGATAATGCATCTGTAGGAGAATCGATACAGGTTAGGGGATCAGGGGGGTTCGGAAAGAAACGGAGATAGTCTTAATCGATAGATCTCGTTAAAATACCTCAAGCAACATCCACTTTTGGGAGGGTAAATCCATTCCCAAGCCCGCAAATCGTACTCCCGCGAGGAAAACGATTTTTCCCAGAATGATATTTTGTACCCCTCACCCCCGCCCCAATCGCGCATGTATGTTACAGGTTATACTAACTTGTGAATATGGAGGCATCAGTCCCACTTTAACCAGCTGCGATTCCATAACGGCACGGCCCATTGCTGCATCAATTTTAGAAAGAAAAATTGTGAAAAATTTGCTCATGTGGTAACAAGTTGAAGTGAATTTCTGTTGTAATAATTACCAGTTTGAACAACATTTGTACGATCCAAACAATCCATACAATTCACTCGAAAAACCCCATTTTGATTACAAATCGGCCCCTTGGCATCACGCCAGTGAAAGCTCATCTTAACAGCTTCCGGGGCAAGAGCCTCAATCAGCGATGAAACATTCTCGAAACGCATCCCGCGGCTTTTGAACAAACGAAGAAAGTATTTTTTTAAAAAAATAATTCAATGGATGAGGAATGGTTCATTAGTTTATAGCACCCATAACAAGTTGGGATACACTTCAACAATTGAATACAACAGAGAATACTATGGGATATTTTTTATATTCATATGGGATAGAAATATCATTTTAGCACGTTGTGTCAAGCGTAAGGCGTGTACATGTTGAACTCTTCACACTAACGATGAGCTGCGCGAAGCGTGCATACACATGCCTAGTGGACTGCTTCTTTCAATGTGACATATATCGGATACATTTATGCATGTTATCCTTTTCGCTTACCAATATTCATGAAAATCGAACGTGACGTAAATCAGATGATCGTTGTTGTATTTCACTACATGATTTCCATATGCATCAAACATGATTTTCTCCTTGCCACTTTGTTCAACTAGGTTAATTATGCAAATGGATTTGTATATCTTCAATTCCTCATCGAAATGTTGAGCAAATGCAATCTGCGTCTCGTTGTCGTCTCGATCTATACGAGGCGGTGGCCGATATTTGTAGCCAGGTTGACTCCAATAAACCGGAATAGACCCTCGAACTTGAAAGAACGCCATTTGATGTTCACCGAATGATAAAATTTGCTCGGTTTCAACATAATTTGCAACATGTCCATTTTCATCAATACCACGACGTTTGTATCTGTCGAAAAAAGCAAACGAATTATTGTTGCCACTGTGTGGCGAGCATTTTTAATATCATACAGTGGATTTTACCTTGTACCAGCTCGGAAACGTGAACGTCTAGAGACCAGAGCCAAGCTAAAGTGATCATCGCCAATTGCACAGTGTTCCAATTGCACAAATCCTTGGATGACCGGTAGTACCCATGCGTTATCCTTGAATTATGGTATAAGTTGTCGCACATTAATAAGCAAACCGGATATTTATTCCACCAAAATGAATATTGTTAGTACACCTACATTCAACTTTAAAACATCTTTGAGCATATTTTTATTCCAGAAGAATCGGTCGTCATACTCCTGTGCATCTCTACGTTGTAAATTATTCGTAAAATCGGCATCGGGGCAATAATAAAAGCTATCTGAATCATCGAATATTTTGTGAATTTCATCTAATATTTGTTTCTCGATTTTTCGTTGATCTTTAGCAACTCGTTTAGAGCGAATTTGATTGGTAGCCAAAGCAGCCGCTTGCTGCGTAGTTGTTTTTATTGTACTTCCAGCAATTTTGACAGCACCCCACGTTTTGTTCACCAATTGTGAACCATCAAATAAACGTCCCTTCGATGAATTCGTTGTACCTGTATAATTTTTCATCCTGACAAAAGTGTAAACGTTAGTGGCCAGTTTATTTAGTCTCATGTAAATCAGCGAAATACCTGTGTTTTGGACATATAGTCAACTCGCAATCTGGTTCTTCATTGCTCAACATGCAAATACTTTTAATTTTGTACACTAACTGTGCTCCATAAATTGCTCCAACGGAAGCTGACTCTTTGATTATTAATAAAATAGGCGAATCCAATACACCAGGCAGGCTTATCACTCCTATGATTCCATCACATCGTCCTAAACACTCTATGTCATCCACCGAAGATAAGTCCCAGCCTGAAAAATAACATAATGAATGAAAGTTTTTCTGTGTTCATCACTCGTGCGTGTGCATCAATGAAAAATGACAAGAAAATGTAATTTATTCATACATTTAAATGAAAATACATTTTTTATATCATATACGCCCAGTTCTCATATCAATGGGTAATTCTATGGAAATAAATGTATCATACGAATTACCAGCTTTAATCGAGAATTCAGATGTTGTCCGATTCCACCATAATGTTTTCTCATTTTTCACAAAAATGTAATAATTGCTGGTTTGCAATACTTCCATAGTTGTCGGGCTGGCTTTCTGGCTGACTAACTGAAACAAATACCAGAATTTAATTTGATTTAAATATACAAAATCACTAGCTCAAATTCGGATTGGTTTCCATACAGCATTGTTTGACAACCAAAAAAATACACAAAAACATATATGAGCTATTTATTATCAGTCAATATTATTATTGTATAACTGATCTGACAGCTAGCAGCAATAGGCTTTGTCTCGCGCAGTGAATTGAATAGGCGCTGAATGGAAATCAATGGCAATGGCAGCAATGAAGAAAATTGGAGCGAATTGCTTTAGTTTAAAAAACACAATTTTAATGTCTGTGAATTCTGAATGGTTATTATTGATGAAAATCAAAATAAAATGAGACCAGAATAAATGTAGTAAAATGAACGAATAATATGGAACATTCAATCGAAATAGGCTTTTTTTGGAAGAGAGACATTTTTATTTGCGTGTCATTTCATTGAAGGACTTTTAACATAATTTCTACATTTTTTGACAGGTAGACTTCTCGAATCTTCATATTATTTTTTCTCTATTGTAATCACTATATAGTAAATCATACATACGAGGATTATATTGAAGAAGTAAACGAAAAAAAAAATATTTCAGTTGAAGTTGCGATCTGCGCCAATAACTAAAATTTGTATCGAAGTGCTTCGGATTAGTTGAAATGTCCCAAACTAAGTCGTGTCGTGGTGTTACACGCGTCCTGGCCAAATTGGAAGAGTCTGTGCGATCGGGTAAATATTACGAGGCCCATCAGAAGTATCGAACATTATATTTTCGCTACTTGTCGCAAAAACGATTCGACGAATGTTTAGAACTTTTGTACGATGGATCACTACGGCTGTTAGAGAATGACCAATATAGTAGCGGTGCTGACTTGGGTTTGTTGGTGGTTGATACGTTAGAAAAGACAACAGTGAACGACTCAGAATTTTGGATTCACCGACTGGGCAAATTATTGGGAAAGATTCCATCTAATTTAGTTGAACGTGAGACTTTGCTTGTAAGTAAGCGATTCGCAAATTCAAATGCAATAAGCAAATGTACGATTGGAAATGTTGATAAAATTCATTTTTGTTTGTATATCATTTTACGTATTATCGTTTATTCGTATACAGGTTAAATCAGTGAAATGGAGTAGCGAAATTTCAAAAAATAAAATTGGCCATCCGACAGGTAAGAATAGATCGTAGATCTTTGAGTATCAAATAGCTATCAGAAATTATTAGAAAGCAAGAAGGTACAGCTTGCACATAAAATCTTGATTGGAAAGCATTCCAAAAACTGTGAATATTGAAACGGACGGACTCAACATTCAACAATCAACAGTGTGATGTATTTCAACATTGTTGTCGCAGGCGCTTATGATTGGAGGCGAATAATAAAATAATTAATAATAAATTAATTTTCTTTGTGATCATCCCCTAGGCCATCCGACAATGCACAAGGTGATTGCGCAGTTAATGTGGAGTGAAGGCAATTTGGAGCAAGCTCGTCATCATTTCTTACTCTCAAAAGATGGCAACGGTTGTGGTCAAATGTTAATCGAATTGAGTCAAACTAAAGGCTATCCGAAAGAGATCGACTTATTCATAGCTCAGGTTGTGTTGCAACAATTATGTCTCAAAGAAATTACATCAGCAGCTGAAACATTTCACACATACATTAAGTTTCATCCAAAAATTAGTCGAACGGATCCACCATTTGTGATGCCCTTGCTGAACTTCGTATTTTTCCTACTGAAAATTATTGAAAGCCGAAAATTGGCGATATTCAAGAAACTGTGCGAATTATACAAACCATCGTTAGACCGTGATCCATCTTATGAAAAGTATTTAGAGAAAATCGGAGTCATATTTTTCGGCGCACCAACTCCACCGCAACGAGCAAATAATGGGATATTCGGTGATTTGATAAATCAACTATTTCAAGGCCTCGAGGAGGAGGACGACGACGAAAATCCAACCTCTTCATCAGTTGAAGCCGATTTAGATTAGGACTTTCTTTCGAATTGTGACGAAAATAACACATTAATGTCAAAAAATGTATTCTTCAATAAAACTGAATCGTGGATAAGCTGAAGCTAAAATGGTTGTCTCGTGTATTTTGTACATTCTGTCAACTACTATACAGTATGTATTGGTCACAAATTGATCTATTCATTTTATATTGAATATCGATGAAACAGAGCAACTTGGATGAAACGAAACAAAACATATATCCAAAACATATGGTTGTTGCTGGAAAGCTCTCAACAAAAATGAAACAATTTATATTTTTAACCCACAGTTAACATGCGATAATAAAAAAATGTAAAATGAATCATCAATCTGGGGTTGTGCTTTGATTTGCTTATTTCTCAGTAAGTTTTCATATCACACCTTTAATCGATTATCGCCATAATCAAATTTCATGAAGTATTAAAACCAGCAAGTGGGGATACGTGGCAAAATTGGCATGAAATATAATCTATTTCCATAAAAGTGAACAAATGTTACAAATGTGGTTATGTTGAAAAACTCTCAAATGAAAGAAAGTATGCACAAATTTCCATAATTTCAATGAAGTTGATAGTAGTAGGCACATCATTCATCTGTTAATTCTACGTAACTAACATCCAAAATACAAAACACAGAGCGACACATCGGACAAGTGCAACGTTGTTGCAGCCAAATATCTTTTTCATGCTGGTTTTGTCTCGATGCGAACCATTTTGCCATACATTCGATACACCACATTGGGCGACAGTAGCAATTACCGCAGTGTGTATGCTCGCTACCAGCCACTAGTTCATCTGTACAATTTTTTTGCAGTTTTACATTTGGTGGAGCGCTTTGACAGGCAAAACATTGGTCCGTTATCTGCGAGAAAAATAGAGATTGAGTGATGTTTATACAATATTAAATTTGCATATTGATCAAATAAGGATACCTCGTTCGTCTTGTATGTTGGATTCAGACGAATTTGCTGTTTGAACACTTCGATAAATCTATCTATAACACTTCGATTAAATTGAACTCCATCTAATATGGCAATCGGCCTGGTAATTCGATCCTGCAAAGTTTTGAAGTCCAGTGCATTGATCCGGATTATAAATTCCGAGACTCCCGGTCGCGTTGGCTTCACCCTGATATTCACGAATTGTATCGTTTCCGTCGAAGCTTCGCTCAAGACGTGTGAGTCACTCTACAAATGTACATTTCTGATCAGAAAAATTGTTCAACATTTACTACGTTTTTTTTTCTATTCATTTTAACCAAAGTTTCATTATCTTACTCGAATTGCGATAAGTGCCGTGTCGCTTTGGTGGGCACAATTCACTGAATAATGACCAACCTTCATGATCCAATTTGCTGTTGCGACCACTGAATGTACTGCACTAGTTTTCATGCATATTTTGTCATCACTGCAAAAGAGAGCATTATACAGCAAATTAAATATTTTCTGAACAATTCGTGGCATAGCTATAGCTTTTAATGATATTTTAGAAAGAAAAAAATCCGTTTTATTGAAAATTACAAATGAAATAATGCAAATATGTATACCGTCTGTATTCTGTATTGATGTCGATAGCTGCTTGCTGCCCGTTTCCATATTTCCGCAGATTTTGTATAATCGGATGCATCGCATAGTTATTTTTCCACCAATAATAAATGATACCAGCCGAGATTATGGGCAAAACGATTGCAAACAAAATAAACGAATTCCAAAGAATAAATTTTGGAAAGGAGCGTACATCGTACTCAATCAAATCACCAAACTTGAGGTGATAGCAAACACAATACAACGTCGGCAGGATTGTATGAATGAACAGTGTCAAACATGTTCGCCTCAATTGATATTGTACAAATTCAATTTCGATAGTGCCGAGGAATGTGCCAAAGATATTATTTATCGTCAGACCGATTGACTCAAATTCTGTCGGTGGGTAAATAATTCCGAATGCAAACAAAGCAAAAACTAAACTAAAAACAAATTCTGCCTCTTGCATGTTTGTTTTTAACTACCGCTGCTGCTGATGACATCGACGGCCATCTGTACTGTCATTTCTAGATGGCAGCATCTCATATCTACACAAACGCCTTTATTTAGATAATTTTTTTTTTTACATATTCAAATTTAATTTCATATAAATATTAGAGTATGCATTGTGTGTTTTTTTTTTCTTTGAGCAATTTTTGCTGCACACGTAAGTACAAATTAATCTGATGCGGAGAGGTCAAGCATATCAAACCAGTCGTGTCATCTCCAGATTTTACATGTGTTATCTTTAGATGCCGTTAAAATGGCATTTCCTACAGATTGTTTTGATAAAACCAATTTTTCATCTTGCATTACAAACTTCATTTCATCAAGTCCGAATTTTGTATTTTACCTGGATAACTAAATTCGCAAGAAATCACTTCGTCTGTGTGCCCACTTAAGACTTGTGAGCATATACCGGTTTCAGTAAACCACACTCGGGCTGTTTTATCAGCTGATGCGGTGAGCACCAAATTCCCAGCAGGATTAAATCTTACCTTTATCATTAGGGGAAAAAATCAATTTTCAAACTAAAAAAGATCAACGAAAAAACATACACACCCGTGACACTTCAGCTTCATGTCCAGACATTGTAGAAATTAAATGAAAATCGTCTTTTACACTCCATATTTTGGAGCTGTGATCATTACTGCACGTAGCCAATGATGTGCCAGTGTAATTGAAGCAAATGTCAAGTACTTCATCGTTGTGACCATCAATAACATGGCATAACGAACTTATTCCCCCTCGGATATCCCAGACACGTGCCGTTGCGTCGATTGAGCCAGTTGCTATGAGCGAGTGATCATAATTCCAAATACAATTACTGAGTTCTGCCATATGTCCTTCCAGCCGCATGATCAAGCTGTACATTGGAGAGGATATTTTAATGACGAACAGTTTTCGTTTTTTTTCCTCACATTATATTACTCTTTTGTTCTTAAATCCCACAAGTATGCATTTGAATCGAATGATCCCGTTAAAATTATATTTTCGTTCTTGTGAAAATGGGCAGCAATAACTTCTCCACCATGGTTCAAAAAGGAATGAATTTCTATGCCAGTTTCAATATCGTACACCCTAGCGGTTGAATCCATCGATGCGGTCACCAATAGCGTTGATAATTGATTGAACTCCGATGCAACAACTTCTGCAGTATGTCCATGAAATGTTTGCAAGCAAGTGCCATTCGAAGTCGCCCATAATTTTGAAGTTTTATCAAATGAAGTGGTCGAAATTTTATCGCTGTTGGAAATATGCTTGAGATAATTGTTCGTTTTTAAATTTTCAAACATTTTCTTTCTGATTTACCAAGCCGGATAATTATATTGAACGGCAAAAACAGCATTTTTGTGCCCTTGAAGTACGTTTAGCTCCGTTCCAGTTTCAACATTCCATAATCTGGCCGTTCTATCATAACTTCCTATAACACAACTAGTTTTATTTTCGTTTTACTATATTAATTACCAATTTGGGTCATCAATTTTTATGAGAGTTTCATCATCTATACCTGCTCCCTTCTTTATTGAAAGCAACATTCGTGAGTGGGAATAGATTCGTTTTCAATGATTTGAAATGGTAGAATTTATTTTTGACCGGTAGATGTAATTTTTTCTGCAGTTTGCGCAGTGATGTTCTCAACTCTGGTAAGTATTCTTCGCATAATAGCACTTCGTTTGCACATATATCTACAGCCTTTTGCTCTATATTTGTGCTGATGATAAAGTCAAAATAAATAACAAAGGAAAAGGAACGAATATCCGAAAGTGATTTACATTTTATGAAAATTGTACCTGATTCTCAAATCAAGACAGTCTATCATTTTGATGTACTCTACTTGTCCATTTGAAAAAGATAATCCAATTCCTAAAATTAAAACGCAGTTTATTTGTTTTTCCTTCTTCTTTTTTCAAAACTCGAACAAATTTAAACCTGGTGGATAATATCTCAAATAAATTCGATTGAGTTCCATGTTGTTTGAATAACGTTTGAAAAGACCCACAGCTGATATGAGTTTGATCGATATTGTGCGTGGTTCAAGTTCATACAATGTCATTAAACTCATTCATTTTTCGTTTGTATTTCTTTGTATACAAGTCAGCTGTCAACTTTAATGCTTACCGGAGCGGAGTTCTAAAGTTGAAGTCTTTCTTTTTGTTATTATCGAGTAAACGAACGAATTGTGTTTAAATGAATACAATGATATTGAGAAAATATTGCATTTAATTCCACCAATTATATTGGAAATACGGTCGCAAGCGATGGCTACATTCCATTGGCAAGACAATTTGAGTTCAACTGCCTTCACGCCGCGCGATTTTCAAGTTGAACTGCTAGCAGCTGCCAGTGAACAAAACATCATTATTTGTTTGGGGCACAATTCATCAAAGGAATTTATTGCGCTAAAATTGATTCTTGAAAAAAGTTACGAACTTCGTAATCACAACAATGGAAAAAATAAAAAATGTACACTCATTTTGACAGCCACTTCATCGGGCGGCGAATCAATATACAACCTAATTTACCACTTGACCGATTTGAAAGTGCTCAACGCTAACGCAGTATTGGACATAGTGGATTGGCGAAAACATATTCAAGAATTTCAAGTGATTATATTGGATATTACAAAGTGTTTAAATGGCGTAAGCATAGGTGCGGTGGAATTTTCGCTCATTAACTTAATTGTAATCGAAGACTGCCACAAAAACTATAACAACAATGAACTGGTTGAATTGTTGGAGCACATTCGGAAGAGTGAGCAAAAACCAAAAATCCTAGGCCTGGCTGGTCCACTACATAGCGCCGGATGCACAACTGATCAATTAGCATTTCATTTGGAAATGCTAGAAAAGACTATACAATGCAAAGCTGAAACTGCCAGCGATATTGTTACTGTTTTAAGGTATGCCAAGCTAGCTAATGATATTTGTATTGAACTAAGAAGCAAATTCTCATTTCAGATACTGCACCAAACCAACTGAATTGATAGTTCAAAATTTGCCTCCAAAAGACTGTGATGTATCCGCGATTATAAGGGATCTTGTATTGACCAAAAAATACTTTTTGCTCGAGCATCGCTACGATCCGTTTGAAATTTATAGTGATGAGTTTGAAGACGAATTGAAAGCCATTCCAGATCCAAAAAAGGAACCCATTGAATGTCTTGACCAATTGTTGAGCGTTTTAGATGAATTTGGGCCATGGTGCGCGGATCGTGCTGCACTCAATTTGATTGCTAAAATTGAAAAGTCGAAAATCAAAACTCCGTATGAACGACACTACCTATTACTTTGTCTTGTATCGACGACTCTCATACAAATTCGTGCATTTTGTGAACAAGTCTTTCAACGCATTCCAAATGATAAAGAATGCATTGAGGCGTACTCCAGTCCGAAGGCCTTACGATTATTGGAAATTCTTCGACAATTCAAGCCAGAAAAACTGTTAGAAGAGCCGAACCTAAAACTAAACTCCATAGCTGCCATTGAAACTTCTACTGAAAAAATCGATCCTATATCGAAATGTGTCGGGAATGAGTTGAAAAAAATATCTACCCAGACATATGGCAAAGATGACGGACGAGATTGTGGGAAGATGGTCGATGGGAAACCTTTCAAAAATACCATAATTACCAAGACAGTTACGAGAACCGGTGTACATGGTGGCAAGAAGGGGAAAGGTAATTTCATGCGACCACCACGTGTATACAACCATAACCATCAGAACGACCCAAATTCTCTGTGTGGTTTATTGCTTTGTAATTCGATGTTTTCCGCTAAAATTCTGTTCAGCTTTTTATCAGAGATGACAAAAAACGATCCAGACCTCGAATACCTGTCCGTGCAATACACGGGCGATAGGTTAGCCGATCCGGTTAGAGAAAGTAAACAGTTTGAAAATGAGCATCGGAAGCAGGAAGAGGTTTTAAAACGATTTCGAATGCATTCGTGTAATTTATTGATTGGTACATCGGTGCTTGAAGAAGGTATTGAACTTCCAAAATGCAATTTAGTTATAAGATGGAACTTACCGACAACATACCGTTCGTACGTTCAATGCAAAGGGAGAGCTCGAGCACAAAGAGCATTCCACATAATAATGGTTTCAGCGAGCACAAATACACATCATAACATTTGCAACGAATTTCTTTCGAGTAAAAATCATAAAGCACTTTGTCAACCAAATCATAATGACACAATGCAATGTTTCGATGCAGCAGAAGTAAGAGAATCACCTGAAAACCACCCAAAACGGGTATTTGAAAACAATCACGATGCTGATGATATTCAGAGATCTGAGGAAGATGTGAAACAACAGGCATTGATTGCCAAGAATTTCGACACCATGCAAAATGAGACCGAAGACATCGTCAAATTACTGGCTCAATATATGCAAATCGAACAAATTCTGTTGAAAAAATGTAGTAATCAAGAACCGTCGCTTCAAGAGCTCGCTGAAGCCGATTTGTACACACCATTTATAAAGCCATATAAACCGATAAAATCCATCGATCCAAACACGGCATTTGTAAGTTTGGCAACGGCTGTGGTTCTAGTTAATAAATATTGCGCAAAGTTACCCAGTGATACATTTACAAAACTGACCCCATTGTGGCGATGCTGTAAGACTTATCGCGGAAATAAGGCATATTATCAATACACTGTTCGATTACCAATAAATTCACCCGTTAAACAGGACATTTATGTAAGTATAAAATACTTTGTTCACTTTATAGGAACATCTAAACAGATCAAACAACACAATCATTTTATAGGGTCTTCCAATGCCAAGCAAAGTGTTAGCACGACGGATGGTGGCATTAATTTGTTGTAAAATTTTACACCAATCTGGAGAATTGGACGATTGCTTGCAGCCAATTGGTAAAGAAGGTTTCCGAGCTTCTGAGCCTGACTGGAATAATTTCGAGCTTGAAAAAGAAGACGCAGACATTGTGAATGAGAACCTAGACCCGCGTCCAGGCACTACACGTCGACGTCAATATTACTACAAAAGAGTGAGTAATAAAAGACAAATTTTAATTTTATTCAATGTTTAAACATATATGCATTCATATGTTATATATAACCATTTTTTTTTTCTTCAAAAAACTCTATAGATTGCATCGGTTCTTTCAAATTGTCGGCCTACGATTGGAGTTGCATGTAAATTATATTTCATCAAAATGGTTCTAGAGTGTCCGATACCAGAAGAGCAAAATACACGTGGCAGGAAGATTTATGCACCAGAAGATGCGGTTCAGGGATTCGGTCTACTTACTTTGAAGCACATACCCAAGCTCGGTTCGTTTTCCATATTTACGAGATCGGGTGAAGTGCGAGTTTCACTGGAATTGGCCAACGATAATATCATAATCAATGAAGACAAATTCGTAAAAATCAATGTATTCCTCAAATATCTATTTGCAAATGTACTACGCTTGCAGAAATATTTAATGTTTTTTGATGCAAATGCAACAGAAAATAGTTTTTTCGTTGTACCAACCGTCAAAGGTGCAAATGATATGATGGTAAATGTGGACTGGACATTTTTAGAATTGATTGCGGAGAAATGTGATCAAATGCCGCAAGAAGTACCGGAGTCGTTACGCAAAACACAAAAGTTTGATCGTGAGAAATTCCGCGATGCTGTCGTCATGCCATGGTATCGAAACCAAGACCAACCGCAATATTTTTATGTAGCCGAAATTTGTGACTACCTATCGCCAGAGAGTTCATTCCCCGGCGACAGCTATGCTACATTTAAAGAGTACTATTTCCGAAAATACAATATTATCATACAGAATTGTTCACAGCCATTACTAGATGTTGATCATACCAGTGCACGTTTGAATTTTCTCACACCGCGTTATGTAAACCGTAAAGGAGTTGCTTTACCGACGAGCTCTGAAGAAACGAAACGCGCTAAACGCGAAAATCTTGAGCAAAAACAAATTCTAGTGCCTGAGCTATGCACAATTCATCCATTTCCGGCGTCTTTATGGCGAATTGCTGTGTGTTTACCATGCGTCCTCTACCGCATCAATGCGTTACTGCTGGCGGATGAAATTCGTATCGAAGTAGCCGACGACATCAATTTAGGGAAGAGCTGTATCATTGACGATAACGAATTCGATTGGCCAGTATTGGACTTTGGCTGGAAACTAGCTGATGTTCTGCGGCGTGCAAAAGATGCAAACAAAACCAAAGAAGCGAAAAAGTCCATCAGTGAAGGTACAGTCAAAACTAAAACTGATTCGGGTTGCTGTGATGTGAAAGTTGAAAATGAGGAAAACGTTGTGAAGCCCTCAAATACTATGCCACAAGATGCAGTACAAGACTCCAAATTGGAACTATTGAAAGGTGTTGAAAATAAATTGGAGGTAATTAATGAAATTTGTTTGTTAGTATTTTACAAAATGCCCTATCAAATGCCGTATTGTAATCTGTATTTTATATGTATTCTTGCATAGAACGAGTGCATGATGGAAATTGGAACGTGGTCAAATGCAATGGCTGAAGACATCATCGAATTAAATGGCGGCAGTAACTCTAGCGAGGATGAATGGAACAGTTTATTGCCATCCAATATAAGTATTTGTTCACGGAATAAATGTAAGTGCAAATGCTCCTTAATGGAATGTACATCAATTTTAAAAATATTAAAAACTTGTTTAAAACTTTTCTTCATTTCGAACAGTGAACATTCGATACGGCTCACCAACATCTTGGGACATCCCAAAAGCAAAGCACATGACCGGTCCAAAACCAGTAGGCTCAGAATCGGAATTGTCTTATTCAGATCAGTCTGATGATGATGAGGATTTCTTCTATCATACAGATGGTTCCGATGATGATAACGAAGGTTTGAATATTGAATTCAAATCGGATAATTTGGCTGAGGCAATCGAAACGGAAGAGGAGATTTTGAAACGACAACGAAAAATCGAAATTATCAATGGCATCAACGCAAACGAGAAATCCTATCAAAGTACGAAAAACATTGGAAGTGGATACGATTGTGTCATAAATCGGTCCGACTTACAAGTCTGTACATCATTGCAATTGCATCAAATGGAATTTCAGCGGTCAGTATGTGAGTTTGAGGAAAAAATTCGGTCATCGAGCACTTTGATCAAATATAATGAACCAATTAGGATAACGAAAAAGTCATCGAATCTTGCTGTCCGAGATGATTCCCTTTCCGAAGATTTTAGGCGGCTAGAAAATATTTTTTCATTTATCGACCAATCCACTTTAAGACAATTTATTGAAGAAAATAACTGCTTTGATGATGACGGAGCTATCAGGCTAACCATCGACGATGTATACAGTTTGCACAAGATATATTTCGAAAGTCATCAAACCGAACGATACACTGTCGAAGGTGTTGGTAGTGTATTTGATGCATTCAATGATCACAATTTGATGAAAACTGAAAGCGATGGTACAATCAGCTATGAATTGCATCGGGATGAATTTTTAAAAGATCGAACGATTGTCAGGGAAAAAATTACCGAAGCAACCGAAATATGTAATAATATACCCGATACGGAAGATCTTGATCGGGAAAAATGCTTCAGCTTCGATCGACAACCAAATCTCACTGATCATCCGGGACCAAGTCCAAGTATCATATTGCAAGCACTAACAATGTCAAACGCAAACGATGGCATTAATTTGGAGCGTTTAGAAACAATTGGAGATTCATTTCTAAAATATGCAATCACAACATATTTATATTGCACATATGAAAATGTGCACGAAGGCAAACTCAGTCATTTGCGGTCGCGACAGGTGTCAAATTTGAATTTATATCGCTTGGGTAGACGTAAAATGCTCGGTGAACGAATGATTGCCACCAAGTTCGAGCCGCATGATAATTGGTTACCTCCGTGCTATTACGTACCAAAGGATTTAGAAAAAGCACTTATCGAAGCTAAAATACCAGCTTGTTACTGGGAAGATGCACGACTACTCGATGTGAAAGAACTGAGCGTGGAGGAAATATGTCAAATGCTAAAAAAGAGGATATTTGGAGGCGATTGGCAAGCTGGTGATGATGACAACGATAACGAGGACGAGACAGATGGTGAGTGTTTTTCTCACCAATTAATTATTTGGTTTATCCTGTTTTCACATAAAAAAAACATTTTTGTATGTCGTCAATATATAATGAATGAAACACAGAATATCATTCCAGATTGAGTGGAATTTTAAGTTTATGTATAAAGCACCAATTAGAATATTGTTTCTTATCGTAATAGACTCTTCTAAAGGTCAGGTGCTCATGGAAAATGAGGGTGTGGCGTGTAATATATATGATAACGAAGTTGAAACTATGGAAGATAATAATGAGCTGCATGGCATGATGAACCGCCCTGATGAATTCCCATGTTTCATTCCATATAATTTGGTAACACAGCATAGTATTCCGGATAAATCGATAGCCGACTGTGTGGAAGCATTGATCGGGTCTAACTTAATTGAGTGTGGTCCACGTGGTGCTCTTCTCTTTATGGCATGGTTGGGTATTCGAGTACTGCCATGGAAAGAAGTGGTTTATGATGAGACAAACAAAAAGCATATTCCAGGAAGTACAAAACCATTCGAACGTGATGGAGTCAGGTATCAAACGGTGTATGGATACTGGGCGGCTCCAAAATCACCATTACTTCATTTTGCACCCAATCCATACGAAACGCTCGAATTACTTCTTGACGGTTATTCGGATTTCGAAGCTCACATTGGTTACACTTTTAATGATCGATCGTATTTACTGCAAGCGATGACTCACGCATCGTATTCACAAAATCGACTAACCGATTGTTATCAACGGCTTGAGTTTTTGGGTGATGCGGTTCTTGATTATCTTATCACACGCCATCTATACGAAGATCCGCGTCAACACTCACCGGGAGCTTTAACCGATCTTCGTTCTGCTCTAGTCAACAATACGATTTTTGCATCGCTAGCTGTTCGACATGGGTTCCATAAATACTTTCGACATTTGTCGCCCGGACTTAATGATGTTATAGATCGTTTTGTTCGAATTCAAGTTGAAAACAATCATAGCATCAGCGAAGAGGTAGATATTTTGTCCTAAGACCGAAAATCTTCACAATTGTCATATCAATTAAAAAAAAATGTTTTTGAATATTTCCCTTTTCAGTTTTATCTTATATCGGAAGAGGAATGTGATGAAGCGGAAGATGTTGAAGTGCCAAAAGCTTTGGGTGATATTTTTGAATCAGTGGCTGGTGCAATATTTTTAGATTCAAACATGTCATTAGACATGGTGTGGAAGGTCGGTGAAAATGTCCATTTCCGTATGTTTTGTGATAGGTTTGATCGCTTTTTCTTCAAATATTCTTGTTTTTAGATTTACAGTAATATGATGCAGCCAGAAATAGACCAATTCAGCAACTCGGTGCCAAAATCCCCAATACGTGAATTACTGGAGCTGGAGCCGGAAACAGCTAAATTTGGGTATGTTATATACGTACATTCGAATCATATATGTATTACAATTGATTCAGGCATATTATTAGCCATATAGTTTCTCGCATAAAAAATGTATCATATTTATTTCGAATATATAGAAAACCAGAAAAACTGGCAGATGGACGACGTGTCAGAGTTACGGTTGATGTATTTGGCAAAGGTACGTACCGTGGAATCGGTCGAAATTATCGAATTGCCAAATGCACGGCAGCCAAATGCGCTCTACGTCAGCTCAAAAAACAAGGGTTGATCAATCGAAAGCGGGCTGAATAAAAAAAAATGCACAACTTTTTTCTTATGAACGACTGATGTTTTATGAATAAAAATTTTGTAATTCGCTAAAAAAAATGAACGTATTTCTTTTCTTTGTTTCCTTTCGCCTAAGTAGCATTTGCAACAATTAGAAAAAACCCATTGTTTAGAAGTGTCAAAAATATGTCGAGTTCAAATCATTTATTTTGTCAAATTTTTGTTTTTTCGCACATCAATAACTACTTGATATAGATTAACAGTGAAAAAGACAAAATATTAAGAAGATGGAAATGAAAATGCTTTTTGAAGCATTGCGATCTGACGTACGATTTAGGTTATACAGGCGTTCAAATGTTGCCCGCCCACAGGTGGTATGCACTAGAGGGTTGAATAGGAGATTTCTTCGATGAAAAAAATACGGTCGGATATTTAAAAAAATAATTATTTTATTGCTCTAGGTTTTACAATATAGAATCGACTTTCAAATTTTATCTAAAGCATTGCACCGGTTTGCACGACACATACGATGCAAAGAAGGGTGAGTTTTTTTTGCAGTCCTGCTGAGTAAGAAAATCCTCATATCCGTATCTCAAAAACTGTAACGGTAAAAATCGTTATTTCTTCTTGTGCTGAATGAAGTACTTCAAATTGTCTATTGATTTTTCTGAATAGGAGATGATTTACAGAATTTAAGATGACGCAACGAATTGAGTTGTTCTTTGAGCATGCTTCAAAAGCAATAACATTGATGAATTCATCAAAATTGTAAATTAACATTAACAACAAATGATAGGTTAAAAATGAAGTTATAAGAATTAATTTTATACTCTTTAACGGATTCAAAATGAGTTGTATGACGTTTTTTTTAAACAATATGACAATTTTGGATTTCCTTCTGATCGGAAAATTTGTTTATATCCCGCTTTTTCTTAATACAATTTTTGTAAAGAATTTTTCTGTTCTTTTTTCTTTCTTTTTTCAACAAAAAAAAATGTACCGAATCTCACATATGGTAGTCTAAAATGAAAAATTTACTTTAATTCTGTAATCGAAAACAATTCAAAGTGACAACAAACAGATTGTTATTACATCGATTGAATGCACGATACTCACAACTCAGGATGGCCGAGCGGTCTAAGGCGCTGGATGATAAGCATATGCAAGAAAAATATTTATCATTCGCTGAAGTTGATATGTTTTAATTTCATAATTTTTTTTTCGAAACGTTACGCATTTGGGAACTGTAAAAAAAAAAACATTTGTCAGGAGCGAGATTCGAACTCGCGCTCTTTCGAACTGGTGCCTAAAACCAGCGCCTTAACCGCTCGGCCATCCTGACCTATGAGTGTCGTGCATGAAAATGGTGTATTTTTCGAGTGGACCGAAGACACAAACACATAAACAAGCAAATCAGCCATCCCGCGCTGGTTTTAGGATGAATCATTCGCGAAAACACCAGTTCGAAAGACTGCGAGTTCGAATCTCGCTCCTGACAAATGTTTTTTTACACTCCCCAAATGCGAACGGGTTTGAAAAAAATTATGAAATTAAAATATATCAACTTCAGCAAATGATAAATATTTTTTTGCAGATGCTCATTTGAAGAAATATCAGTGAAAAAAAATGTGTTGTCTCGAGACTCAAACTTCAGTTCATCAGAAACGCTACTATTCAATACAAGACAGAACAACTTCACAATGACTTTTTACTATGGTGGCTGGTCAACAATGGAGAAATGTAATTCAACGAAAACTTGCCTTTCACGCGCCTTCGAGCCAGTCTTTTAGTCAGTCACAAAACACTTCCCCCCTAAAACCATAAGCAACATTGAAATTTGAAAGTTTATTCAAGTAGAGCGCTCAAGAACAATTTCTTACGTGGTTTGTAGCCTCGTGCTGAATGGAAATTATGCATATTTCCTAATTATGATATTCATTGAATGCCATCCATCCGACTCTTTGTGTGCTAGATATCTGTGTCAAAAAAAGATGACGACAAAACACTAAATCAGAGTTATTTAATTTTTATGGAAAAAAAACTTGTTTTCGAAAAGTAACCAGATTTGAACATCATATTTGTCTTTCGAGGTCAAGAAAACCGAAAGTTAAATAATCCATACCACACGTAAAACCACTTTCATTTTCTACGTGAATCCAGTTTTGCGAACTATTGTGATCGAAATTATAATAACAGTTGATTACTATTTAAATGTTGCTGTCGGCAAAATTCATATGTATGTGTACGTATTCCATGATTGCTATTCTTTGTCTAGCTGCTGGCAGTCACAATGCTAGCATTGCTCGGACATGTTTGTGTATGTGAGTGTGGCTTAAAAAAATACCATTCCATTCCACTTGATTATGACTTGAACGCATCCCTTCTCTGTGACCGGCTCTGTAGCTGTAGCTGTGTCTGTATTTGTAACTGGCGCGCGATTGTGGCGACAACGACTTTCCGATATTCGTAGTCGAAAATGTCAAACGATATGTCATTTTTAAACAAAACACACGTATTCTACGCCGGAGACTACATACAGTTTGGCAATGTGTTGTGTAGAAGGAATTAAAAACCGAATGAAACAGATGTAAAAAATATAAACGAAACCAGTCGGCCGCATAGAGTACAACAACCACGTATACAACCATACACGTTTGCGAGAAAGAAAAAAACAAGATACACCACTGAAAGAATAGTCAATGATTTTTTTTTATAAACATTCACACACTTTTTCACATCTTTTTAAATGATAAAGTATCGAGTGTTATTTTATATCAAACAGTTTACACTTTCACTTGGTGTTGGATGGATGTTAGAAAATCGCTAGCTTCTGTTAACGCTTAACTAACTGTGTTCAGTGGTGATTAATTTGGTGTAATTGTTTTTCTCTACAAATTCATTAAACCGACTAGACAATTAATTGTTCGACACCAACAACGACGAAATTTTGCTATCCATCAATATGACTGCAATTGAAACACTTCGTAAACACCTGGAAAAATATGGACAAGAGCATTTAATTAAATTTTGGGACGAGATTGACGACGAGCAGCGACGTCAATTGAAGCAAGAAATCGACGAACTGAACTTCAGTGAACTGCAATCATTTTTTGAACGTGTCACTAAATCGAATGAAAGTGAAAATGAGGAAAAGTTGGACGATAAATTGCAGCCTATTGAAGAATCACAATTCCTTTCGATTCGACGAACTTCGCCATTTTTAATTAAGAAATATGAAATGGAAGGGCTATCGCACATTGCCGCAGGTCATGTAGGCGTTTTGCTAATGGCTGGTGGCCAAGGTACTCGATTGGGTTTCTCACATCCAAAAGGAATGTATGATGTTGGTTTACCATCCAAGAAAAGTCTTTTCCAAATACAAGCCGAACGAATCCGAACTCTGCAGCGTCTCGCAACGCAGCAAACCGGCAAAACTGACGGCCGCATCACCTGGTACATAATGACCAGCGAACACACAATGGAGCCAACGAAAGCATTTTTTGAGCAACACAACTACTTTGGATTAAATGCTAGCGATGTGATTATGTTCGAGCAGGGCAGTTTGCCCTGTTTCGGTTTTGATGGCAAAATTTTATTGAATGAAAAGCATGTTATTTCAAAGGCACCAGATGGGAATGGCGGTATTTACCGTGCCTTAAAGTCTCAAGGTATTTTAAATGATATGGAGCGTCGAGGAGTTTTATATTTGCATGCACATAGTGTAGACAATATTTTGATAAAGGTTGCTGATCCAGTATTCATCGGTTACTGTGTGCAACAGGAAGCCGATTGTGCGGCCAAGGTTGTTGAGAAATCACAGCCCAACGAAGCAGTGGGAGTTATTTGTGTTGTAGATGGTAAATATCAAGTCGTTGAATATAGCGAAATTTCAACAAAAACCTCGGAGCTACGTAATTTAGACGGTCGATTGACATTTAACGCCGGAAATATATGCAATCATTTCTTTAGCACTGAATTCTTAAATAAAATTGGCAATAAATTTGAAAAAAGTTTGAAATTGCACGTTGCCAAAAAGAAGATTCCATTTATCGACAATGCTGGCAAACGGTGCACACCAGAAAAACCGAATGGCATTAAAATAGAAAAATTCGTTTTTGATGTATTTGAATTTGCTGAAAAGTTTGTTGTATTGGCAGTCGAACGTGAAGAAGAGTTTAGCCCATTGAAAAATGCGGACAGTGCGGGGAAAGAATGTGCGACAACTGCCCGCAAAGACATTTATCGATGCCATAAAAAGTTAATCGAAGCAGCTGGTGGAAACGTCGACGGTGATGGTGTTTGCGAAATATCATCACTGCTATCGTATAGCGGTGAAGGACTTAAAGAAATTGTCAATGGACAAACTTTCACCCCTCCAATTTATTTGAAAAGCAATGAAGAGGTGCACAAAACAACCAATGGATACGGACACTAATTCCACTAACACCAACTACTTAATCAAACCTATACAGAATTAAACACGTAAACTTTTTTTTCCACCGATGTTTTTCTCTTCCTTTATTGCATTTGAATTAATTCCCAAATTTATTCGTGCGACCAACATTTTAATGTCAAATCTATCTCGATATCGCAGATAAAAAAACTTATTGAAACATTCTATGATGCGGCCACAAATTGTACATATTTTTTTGTTAGTATCATTTTTGTGACCGTTCTTTTACGAAAAAATTTTAAAAAGATAATAGTAATTAGCATTGAAATTTCCAAGTATTTGAGGACACATATGTTGTATGTATTTGTCATCGTAGTTCTAATTTCTTTGTAACTTCGTGTTACAACTCTGTTTTTTTTTTACTTAAATTTGTATAATATCATTTATTCAATAATATGTTATAAACGAAACGAGTTGTCTTTCCTTTCCATTATTATAAGAGAAGTTGGACTGATTTTGATTAAATAAAAATAATTATTCGTTGTTCACTTTAGCTGCTGAATGGTAAAAAGAATTGTATAAGACTTGCGGTAAGAACTATTCTTAGAATTAATAGAGAATAGTGCTACAAAAGAAACTACGTTTTGTATTTTCTAGTATATGTTCTTGCTATCAACAGACATAATTGGACTAGGGTTTACGTACCGTTTCTCATCGGTCAGCTGAAATTAAACATACATGTACGAAAGTTCAGAAGTATAAAAAATGCTGATCATGTAAATGAATAAAGCATACGCATGTTCTACTCTTTAGCACATTTCGTTACGAGTTAATTATCAGGAATTTGACATAAAGGTAACGTTATGCTTTGTTTGCACAAATTCTTCATTCTGCTTAGTATTCTTGTATCGGTCTTCCGTTTGGTTAGTATATTTCCATCTATCCACCGATCACAACTTATCCGCTTTAATAGAAGATTTTTGCAGTGAAAATGTCACCAAAAAAATTGTTTGCTGTTTTTCTGCTGATTCTTATCAATTGTTCGTTGCATTTAACGTATGGATTAGTTTGTGAAGGCTGCTTGGAATTGGATGAAATAACCTTTGATAAAATATTGGCCAAGTTTTCAACAGTTTTGGTAAAATTCGATATCGCATTTCCATATGGAAAGAAGCATGATGAATATGCTAAATTTGCTAAAGAAATCAACAAAATGAGCTATGACGATCTAATCGTATCCGTAGTTGGAATTAAAAACTACGGTCAAACCACCAACAATAAGTTGGCGGAACGATTTAACGTCAATGATCAATTGCCCGAAATTAAACTGTTCACGAATGGGAACGCTTTGAAGTGGATCGATTTTCCAAAAGGTATTTAATCATCTGATTTGATCGAAGCTTATCTTGATACAATTTAATAAATAAATATGATGATTTTAATTGTGTTCTCTATCAAAATGAAAGTAGACGCAAACATTACAACAGAAAATTTGCAACAGTTTCTTCGGCGAAAATCTAACGTGAAAATTATACTTCCCGAATGCTTAAAACAATTCGATGAATATGCGGCCAAATTCGTGAAAACAGTACAGCTTACGTCGACGACCTTATCAACGTCGACGCCTAAAGGAGCTGAAGCGATCGTGAACGAAGCGAGCCGTGAAGCAACAAAATTAGAAACTAAGCATGTATGTCATTGAATTTCAAATTGCATTGCATTGCAATGCATTGCATTGCCCTTTTGATAATCTTCCAATTTATTTTTCTTTTTTTTTGCTAACGGGGACGGCTCAACTATCTCTTTATACAATACAGCAACAACAAATTGCACAGATCTATTTGCTAATCATGCGGCGCATACTAGAAAGAAATATCAGTTTTATTGGAGCAGAACGATCGCGACTGCAAAAAGTGTTAGATGGAAAAATCAGCGATCAAAAGAGAAAGGAAATCAATCAAAAGTTAAATATACTATCAGCATTCGATGTAATTGAAAGGGCAGAGCCACATACTGAGCTTTGAATTGCGATTTTCACACCCATGCCTATTAGTTTAACTGCTTATGATCAAATGTTTGATGCCTACAATCAAAGCCAATGATACGACCAAATCAAATCAAATCAAATCAAATAATAAAATAATACATAAAATTCACAAAATAAACATCCCAGTTTTTCTACTATTTATAAACTAAAAGTTATAGTTCAAATTGAAACGTTTAGTCACATGAATCGAACTTTATTTGTTTTAAAAATTTCCAATGCATTTCTTCCCATTTTTCTTACTGCTATTTTTCAGGGGAATCAAAGCGGCGAACTGTTGTGGTACGAACGACGATACAGAGAACTATGTGTATAATCAGCGTTTAACGTACACAATATTACCGAATAGTGTGACATGTAACGTGTCAAGAAAAGAAACAGTAATCTACTTGTTTTTGTTTTGTTTTTGCAGTTTAAATGGTCATTTGCGTACTGTTCAGTTGATTGGCATTTGAGTATACGTGAGTACACTCTACACTGTATAGTTTCGTGTAAAGAAGAAAAAAAACTCACACACATAAAACAACTGTTGACTGATCGAAAAATACCGCATGCACTTGTATATTCCAGATAAGAATAAATGACATCAGTATTTGAGCGAAGATTACCCATCTAATAGAGGTTTGAACAGCCGTCGAGTTACATTTGATCGAAAAAGTTACTGTAGAAATGACCTCATTTATTCCAACTGGTAGAATTGATTCAATTTCCAATTGTGCATGTTTGTTTTTGAAATAAAATTATATAAATCAAAGTGTTTACTTATAGATTTTATTTATTATTTATATAGATTATATTATTATAGTGTTGTTTTTCATCATTTTTTAGAACATCAACATAATCGCTTCAATCCATTGAATGGGCAATGGGTTTTGGTTAGTATTATTTGGTTTTGGTTAGTTGGTTTTAAAGTAAATTTTGAGTTTTTTCATTTGTGTATTACGAATATTTTACTTTCAGGTAAGCCCGCATCGTTTACAAAGACCATGGTCAGGCCAGTCAGAGTCCCAGGCACAGATTGACAACATTCCAGACTATGGTATATATACGTATAACATATATGAATTGACACTAGTAACCAATAGATGATAACTGTTTTCTATCGACAGATCCATCCAACCCCCTTTGTCCTGGCAATAAGAGAGGAAACGGAAAGGTGAAATGTAAATACATATCAATAAGAAGTGTATGTCTAATAGTTTGAATCCCTTACAGGTAAACCCAAAGTACGAGTCAACTTTTGTATTTCCGAATGATTTTCCTGCGCTTCTTGAAAACACACCATCCCCGCCACCGAGTGACGATCCTTTATTCCGAATTGGAGAGGCCAAAGGAACCTGTCGTGTTATGTGTTTCCATCCAAAGTTGAATAGAACGCTACCTGTTATGAAACCACTTGAAATCGAACGTGTTATCGACGAGTATGCACTTAATGATATTTCTATTTGCAAAATGGAAAGAAAACTCAGCCGTTTTCACTTATCGTTCTAAATAGACCATCGATGCGATTTGAGGCAACATAATAATCTAAATATTTATTTTTCTATAGGTGGATGAACCAGTTCAAGGAGCTAAGTCCGAAGTATAAATGGGTTCAAGTATTTGAGAATAAAGGTGCTAGCATGGGATGTTCAAATCCTCATCCGCATTGCCAAATTTGGGCCTGTTCATTTCTACCCAATGAGCCGTCAATCAAAGACATCAATTTGAAAAACTATTATGCAAAGTATGGGCGATCTTTGCTCGACGACTACGTTGAAAAAGAAATAGTTCGTCAAGAACGTGTTGTTATCGAAAACAAGGACTGGTTGGTGGTGGTGCCATATTGGGCTGCATGGCCATTCGAAACGATGCTCATTTCAAGGAACAAACTTAAACGCATGGATGAAATCGATGACGCACAGAAGAAAAGTCTCGCCATTGTTATCAAGCAACTGACGACTAAATATGATAATTTGTTCAAATGCTCATTTCCTTATTCAATGGGATTCCACGGTATGGAAAAAGAAAACTTCTTAAATACATTCAAACTGATGTCAATAATATAATTTTAGGTGCACCAACTGGACCATCAGCAGCCAACGAAGATAATTCTCATTGGACATTGCATGCTATATACTATCCGCCCCTTCTTAGGTACTCAACAATTATATTCTTTTTGGGAATCATTTGTTTGTAATTAAATTTTCCACCTAGATCGGCTTCTGTACGAAAATTCATGGTTGGTTTCGAATTGTTGTGCCAAACACAACGCGATTTAACAAGCGAGCAGGCAGCTCAACGTCTGCGCGAAATGGACCAAAATATTCATTTCTCGATCAATCAAACGATTTAAAACTACAAAAGGCCAAACAAGAAATAAAAGGAAAAAAAAACTTAGTAAATTCAGTAAATACGTATGAGCATGAATGGCAAATTCTTTTTTTTAATTGTTATATCATACACAATTATACATCATACATAAATATTATCTTCGGCTTTTTTGTCGACTTTCAATCATTTGGAATTCTCTAAGTAAATATGCAATACTGTATCGAAGACGATGAAACATAGCGATTGGTATCTCAAAGGTTTTGTATTCACCATTTTGTAACATCATATGAAAAACGATTATTGGCTGTGCGATTCGCTCAACACCACTGGAATGAAAAAAAAAGAGAACAAACACAAATAATTTCAATGATTCATGCAGAATTATTTTCAGTTTTCAGCGACTACCTGTCAACTAATGAAATATTGATACACCATTGAAAGCGTTTCGGTGGAGATCGCATACTTTTAACATCACAATAGTTTAGCGTTAGAGAGTCTCTATAGTTCAATAATACTTTGGTGAAGTCTCCAATGCATTCGTCGTTGAAACCCATCTGTTTTAATCCTTCACGAAGATCCTCTTCACGAACACTACCCTTTGGCGTTCTCAGAAATATTTGCATTATCTGTAAAATGACAGAAAACAATTCGCGAAAATTTTCCGGTATCTCAATTCCAGTTTGGGAGAGTTTTGTAAGTGCCAGATCAAGGATTTCGGGCGCACATACTCGACTCTCTATATAATGTACAGAAACTATGTGAAAAAATTGAAATAGAAAAAAGATTGAAATCAGTGTGCGACAAAAACTTTGATAGTTGATTAAAACTCTTTGCATTACCTTGGATTAGCACACGTAAAACTGGTCTCGTTAGCTGTGGCACAAAAACTTCATAGTTTGCTAGTCCTTTCAAACTTCCTTTTAGTAGCTCCGTTCGCACAGACATTTCACCAACTTTTTATTTGAAATTATTGTAATTGGTATAAACTCTGTTTCTAGGTCACAAAGATGGGAAAAAATGATGAATTAAATTGTTTATTTTCTTTGGGTAAGACGTAAGTTTGACAGTTCAAATAGACAGTAAACTGTTCTTGTTTTAATGTGTATATTTTGACAGTTCAATTTATGTCGAAGCAACTTGTTCGAAAGTATAAACAAATAAAAAACAAAAATGGATTCGGATCAAATAGTCAATTTTTTAAATTCCAAATTTGATACAAAAATAAAGTGTTCGTGTGCCGTAGAGGATTTTTATTCGATAGAAAATCTCATATCAAATGATGAACAGAAATGTGATCGTGGTTTCATGGCATTTAGAGTGGTCAAGCCGCCAGTCTCCTTAGAATTTCAACTTTGCTGTTGTATTGAATTGGTTTCGATCAAAATTTGGCCCCAAATCGATTCACTGAAATCGACTGGCTTTGAAATATTTGTCAACAGTGATAGAGTACCAGAATATTGTAAAATTGGCAGCCATTTCAATTTGCAAGAAAACTGCATTCAATTCATAAATGATTCAATCAATAATGGCCAGTACAACCACGAAAACAGCAGCAGTCGTGACGAGCATTTTGCTGTGGTATCTTTCTTCCCATCAACAAAAAATAAACTGCGAAGAGTGAAGAATATAAAATGTGTTATAAAACAAACCGCACGTTGCGTCCCGGTCATCAAACGACTCGAAGTTTGGGGTAAAATTTCGAAATTTGCGACGGATCAACAGAAAGAAAAGATTCATCAAATAATTAGAAAAGAGATTGAGCAAGTCGAATGCGTGGAAACAGAGAAAACTCGTATAAATGGTGATAGCAGTAACCTAACAATAAACCGAGAGCTCAACGAAGACTCAGCAATTCCTGAACCTTTCTTGGACACAATCACATTTGAGATAATGGCACTGCCGATGGTCCTACCTTCTGGAAAAATAATCGACAATTCAACGCTTCTGAAACACATCGAACAAGGGGAGAAATGGGGTCGTGTTCCATCAGATCCATTTACTGGTCAACCGTTTACCGATTCCAGAAAACCAGTGCTAAACGTTCACCTGAAAGCGCAAATCGACTCGTTCCTGCTGAAAAACTGTAGCATGCAATCTGTTGCAACACTGCCGAGAACTATTGGCTCGATAACAAAACGGCGAACAGAACAAAGCGAATATACTCTTCCTCCTAAAAAATGCCATCAAAACGATACTATTGAAACACCACTATTGCCTTCACTATCATCATCGTCATCGTCATCGTCATCTTCATTTTCATCTTCATCTTCATCTTCATCAACAGCAACAGCATCCACTTTTCGATCATCAACTTTAGAAGTGAAAAGCCAGAGTATGGATGAAGCCATTAGAGGTGTATTGAAAATAGGAAAATATACTTCGAATGTTCCAACAGAAAATAATTTGAATATTAAAAAATGTTTTCAATGTGTAGAGCTGGTTAGCAATAATTTATATACAATAACAATTTGTTCGCATTTGATTTGTAGAAATTGTTTAGTTGAGAAGAACATTAGCATATGTAAATGCGGTAGAGGATTTAGCAATATTGATGTGAATAAGTATCATCATAAAATAATTTTATGATTAAAACCAGCGAAAGAGAAATGGTTTTGTTGTCGTTTAATTAATTTAACAGTTTATAAAATTGTCTTATGTCAGCCAAACGAAATTTAATGAAGAAATCTGTAATTCAAGTAAATTTATGGTTTTTATTTTCAAATCAATTCTTAAGTATACGTGTTATGAATACTTTGACAGAAAGATAATGGATGATTATGGCGATTACAACGCCTCGAAGCGGATATAGCTAAAAGTCAACTGTTTTGACATAAGCATGCCAGAAGAAAAAAAAATAACAACATCTAAGGCAGTATCAGAGTTGTATTTCGGCACGGAAAGTCTTCGTTTCGATTTTAAATATGTCGATTCAACTGTTTAGGAATTTGTTCCAGAAACAAGGTTCGTGTATAACAACCAACGTGAAACTTCTTTACGCTGAACTAAATGTGAATTATGTTTGTCGTTTTGTACCATGTGTTTTTAGGTTACATTCAACGAATGGTTTGTACAACAAATAACAGACTGAGTTATTCAAGTACATCACAAGCCGATGCATCGGTTGATGAAGATGAGCCAATTGCTATCAAAAATCCATACAAACGTGAAAATCGTCAGTGCCTTCTGTGCAAGTTGAACATTACACCCGATTACAAAAATGCCCGTTTATTGTCGCAATTCCAAAGTACGTACACTGGACGAATTTACGGTCGGCACATTACTGGTCTCTGCAAAACGAAACAAACACAAGTTGAGAGTGCGATACAACGTTCACAGGCATGCGGATTTATGCCACTGTATCACAAGGCACCCGAATTTTTCAATGATCCCAAATTGTACGATCCAGAGAAGCCAATTCGACCACACCCACATTAGAAGAATCAATGTTACCAATATAGTCGACAATTAAATACCAAATTTAATAAAATGTTATCAAAAGCCTTTTATTCTTAGTTCTCATACTCAAAAATATCAATGGGTATGTTAAGATGTGTTTGAATCTGTTCGATCTCCTGCTCCGGTAGAATTTCCTGTTGTAGCGCCTTCAGAGCATCTTTGCCTCCATTGCACCACAATTGGATCAGTCGCAATAGTTCCTTTTTGTCAGTTTGGTATTTCCTATACTTGTCCAAGCGTGCCTTCATTTGCGAAATTTCCGCTTTGAGCTGTTCATATGGAATTGTTTGCGTTTCGCTGATTGAATCGTTCATTTCTTTTGGAAGGATGTTTACATCTAACTTATCCATAGACACTTTTCGATGCTTTTTCGGAGTAGCTAATGAGTAATTGTCAGTATTTGTTTGTGATGAAGGGCTAGAGACTGTATTGACTTTTGGTGTTGTTTGCGAATTGGCATCTTGTTGATTTGGACGTTTTGCTGGTGGTGTTGCGATTGTTCTTCGAATCATACGGCCCATTCCAAGCGTTCGACGAGGTGTTTGAACGTTTATTTTGTTTGGATCAATTTCTCTGTCCATCTTTTTTATATCATGACTTCTCGTACATTCGTGAAATGTTTTCACTGGATACAAAGTGAGGTTAGATCAACGGTGACAGTTCATATATTTACTGCCATTTACATTGCTAAGTGTCACATCTTGAACGAAGTTTGGGTTATGCGAATTACTTGTGCAAATTGTGTTTGTAAACAAAGCGGTAGTTTAGAGAAATTTATGGGGGTAAAATTGGCCGCCTAGCAAAAATGAACGCTTCGCGGTCATCGTCGAAAAATCAAAGTACAACGAATGAAAATGTAGCAGAATTGAGTGAATTAAATTTATCGTTTGATGAGTCGGTCCTTCAGCTTATAGACGAACCATTCGAATCGAAAGTAAATTCGGAATCGAAGCTGCGTACCGACTTCAAATACAATGGCTTCGACTCCAGCTTGGGTGGAACTTTTATATACCCCACTAACTATCCCGTTCGTCAGTATCAACTCCACATATCCCGTGTTTCGTTTTTCAAAAATACTCTTGTGAGTTGATTGCAATTGTTTTGCATTTGTGTTTGTTTTGATAGTTGTTTATTTCAACAGCGATATGAATGCCCATTTACTTCTTTCGTCAAATATAAATTTTATTCTTTCTAGGTGTGTCTGCCGACAGGATTGGGTAAAACATTCATCGCATCGGTTGTTATGTATAACATATTTCGATGGTATCCCAAAGGGAAAATAATTTTCATGGCACCTACACGTCCACTGGTCGCACAACAAATCCAGGCTTGCTATCAAATCATGGGATTTCCCAAAGAAGAAACAATCGAACTGACCGGGCGACAGAATAAAAAAATTCGCGCCTCTGCCTGGACATCGAAACGTGTTTTCTATTGTACCCCGCAAGTTGTTTGGTCCGATATGAATGACAATGAGATCGATTTTCCATTTAATGATATCAAACTGATAGTTGTGGATGAGGCGCACAAGGCAAAAGGCAAATATGCATACACGGAAGTGGTGCAATCGATATGGTCACGCAATAAATTGTTTCGAGTTTTGGCATTATCTGCAACGCCCGGTCGATCCATGAAAGGTAAATTATACTAAAAAAATCCATTAGTCCATAATTCATTTTTTTTACACCTTTTCTGTTTGTTTTGTTTTCCATGATAGATGTGTGCGAAGTCATCCAAAATTTGTTGATCTCAAATGTTGAAGTGCGAAAAGAATCGTCTATTGATGTTGCACCATATGTGTTCAAAAAGAATATTAAAACAATTGTTGTACAGTTAGATGATCAACTCAATCAGACAAAAAAACGCTTATACGATCTTGTCGAGCCATATGTTGAAAGTTTAGTCAAAAATCAAGTGATTGCAGGCCATATCGGTAATTTGACCAAAGCATGGCTTTTATTCGACCGCAATAAGTTTCGTGAAAGCACAGTTACGAACCGGCATCCGGAGCAGACAAAAATCAACGGTTAGTTGAACATTTTCAAAATTTGTAATTGTGATTCACCATTTTCATTTGTTTTGGCAGGTGACTTTAGCGTGTGCATTAGCATGTATCATGCAATCGAATTACTAGAGCGACATGGCATGCGAGTCTTCCTGAATTATTTCAACGATACGAATTCAGATAGCAGCGCTGAAGAGAAATTCTTTGTCATGAAAGATTCAAAAATCAAAAACTTCATCAACGAAATTCGGTCGAATTCTGGAATAACACCATTCACTGATCAAGATATGTCATTTCATGGGAATACATCCGACATCACTGATTTGGAACCTGTCAATTACGGTCATCCGAAATTTGAAATTCTACAAAAATGTTTGCTAGACCATTTTCAGGTAAGTTTGTTTCATTTTGCAGCCTAACTGAATATTCGTGAACTTGCATTTTTTTTCCTTCTGAATTTTCACAGGAAAACTCCGACACAAAGACGGACACAAAAGCCTTAGTATTTTGTGAATATCGTGAATCAGTATTTCTTATCAATCGAATGCTTCTATCCAATCGACCTTTGATTAAACCGAAAGTTTTTGTTGGTACTTATAACCTAATCTCATATGAAACATAGTACATTTATGAAAACTGACATTGCTTTAACTTTTTACATGAATAGGTCAGGGATCATCGCATAACCGAACAATCACGCAAAAAGAACAAATCGTAATCATGAATGATTTTCGTAGCGGAAAATGCAATACGTTGATTGCTACGTGTGTCGCGGAAGAAGGTATCGATGTAGGCGAAGTAGATTTCATTGTCTGCTTTGATGTAAATAATAAAAATCCTATAAGATTTGTACAACGGATAGGTCGAACTGGAAGAAAGCGACAAGGAAAGGTAAATTATAACATTTTCAAAAAAATTTCATTAGTCATTTTCACACCTTTTCTATTTGTTTTGTCAGGTGACAATGCTCGTTACGGAAGGGAAAGAGCAACAAATGTTAAAAGATATTCTTGTAACTAAAGATGGTATCAATCAAAGAATTGGGAAGAGTAATGAAGTAAAAAATATGCTATATAAAGACTGTCCACGTCTCGTTCCTCCCGAATTCAATCCACAATGTGTTGAAACTTTCATTGATATTGCAAGACAGGAAGCTACCACCGAAAAAACAAACGCAAAGAAGGGAACAAAGGACAGTAAGAAGAAAAAAAAATCACCCAAACCGGTAGGATTTTCATTCGATCGATTTATATATTTACCCTTGAGCACTTTGGATTCAATTTATCTCTTTTCAGAATATCCAACGAAAAGTGGGCGGTGTTCGGCATTTCTTCGGCAAACCGGTTGAAATTGAAATTGATAAGGAAATTGACGAAAATTTTGATTTGACATCTTACCGAGTCTACAACACATCTACTGACCAGAGAGGAAACCTGATAGAAGATCAACTTGAAATTGACCCTCCAGATTTAACGTTAAACTATAATAACGATGATGTTGAGCAGCTAGTGAGCAGATATCATGATGGGGAAGTGCCTTTGGAAATCAAATTCGAAAAAGTTTATAGGCAAGTAACATTTATGTAATGCTTTCTACCGTTAAATTAAGTAATGCTTTTGCCCACTTCAGTGGTGCATTTGACCATTAATTCACATACAATCCCGTCCGAATCGGATGAAATTCGGGTATCATCCAACTGTACGCTACACTCGAATCACATCCATTTGTGACGGTAATAATGGGTGTGAAAACTGACTGACTGACTGAGAATTATATATGTACAACAGATTTGATCGTTTTCATCTTTGAATCAATTGAGAAATCAGAACCGTTGTGCAACATTTTCAATTGATTCATAATCGTTTTTATATCCTTCTAATTGATTTGTTTTTACCGTTTTTTTCTACTTCCATTGTGACGTTAAAAATGACTGAAACTACACACAAATGCGGGCCTTAATTCGACCGTTTACATACGCTTGGTAATGGATGTATTTGCGTTAACAATTGTTTCTTGGGTATAGCCAGTATTATAATACTAAGAAAAGTCGAGCCAAATGGAATGGATTTTCTGAAAAGTTATCAAAGACTGATTATAACAATCAACATGTGCCAGACATCCTGAAAAAATTTCTTATCAGTTCCTCGGATGAGTCGAATGAAAACCGTGTTTTTAAAACAAATCGTGATTCATGGCGGAGTATTTCAGATGAAAGGAGACTGGAAATTTTCAAATTTATGTCCTTGTTCACACAACAATGCAAACTAAATGCAAGCAAATCAAAGTCATCCCTTTGTAACTCGGCAAATCTGAAGAATGATTCAGAAACTGAACTTCACTTGAACAGTTTGATCGACTCGCAAGTCTCATTTTCGATGCAAATAGAAACTCACCAGTCCAAATATGCTAGTCAAATGAAAGTACCAGTCGAAAAACTTGTATCTCCAATGACACCATTGCAACAAATAGCATCAAGTACTCCACATGAAATTCCAAATCTCAAACGAATTCCCGCCGCTCCAGTACACTCACCAATCGTTAACACTCCACTGGAAAATAAACGGAAGCAAACCCACAAACAGAATCGTCGACGAGATGTAGAAGGTCCAAACTGGTACCTCAAATTCCTGGGCTTGAATACGGTCTACGATTTATTTTCGGATGATGGTGATAGTTCTCTAGAAAATACCAGCCACGCCACCACTAATACGTCTGATGAGCAACAAGCAAAACTCTGTGATACTCTTAATAAATCAGTTTGTGGGAATGAAAATCTCGTTGAAGAAGAAAGTCAGTACACGGTTTCAAGAATATTGAAGATCTGCCAAGATGCTGAAAGAGTAGATGTTAATGAATGTGAAGTCAAACCTTCTGGGTCTACCACAAGACGCCGACGTCTTTATATTGGTAGCATAGATGATCTTTTTCGCGAAGAGGATGACGACGACGATAATGATGATGTTATTATAAATACCCAAGCTGTTGATGTGACACTTTCTGAATCCGATGAAACCGTGAACTATGATGTTGAAGATGCAATGGCGAATCAAAAGGATGTACACCATTCAATCAGTTTATTCAAAGACACAAGCGGAGGTGAACCATCGAATAAATCAACAAACACACTAGCAAAATCGGTTACTGGTGCAAAATCAGATGAACTATTTTCAACTTTCAATGAATCATTGGCAAATATAAGTAAACCTGATGCAGGCAACGTCAACGGTCGAATACCACCGGATACCCGATCTCAACAAGAAGAAAGCATGAAAACAACACCGAAAAAACAGAACAATTCCAATTTGTATGTTTATCACAGTCGATCGCCATCTGTTCTGATTAAATCATCGAGTATCCTTTCAACGAGATTTGATAACAATCAAGCTGATCGATCCTTTTGCAACACAAGCAGAATAAGCAGCAATCGGACCAATAAATCGCCAACATCGCTCAGTTCGAAATTAAGCGTGCTGAATTCTCAATTGGGCTTTAGCAAATATACAGATGATGAGATTCTTGATGAACTCAAAGAAAATTTTTCATCTCCATTTTTTACCTTTTGGTCTCCCGATGCGAATCGCAATCAAAACAAACCATTACAACCTGAAGCTGATTCAAATTGTGAAACCGAATATTCTGGAGACGAGGACTTTACAACATGCCAAACGTCATTGGTATAATTTTACTATTTTTGCATAATGCCTACCTTCATTTTTATTCTAATTACAATTTCTTCATTTAACAGTCAAGAAAAAAAGCATCAGGTGTTAAAAGTCAAGGAAAAAAGAAGCGAAAAGCAAGAAGCAAATTTAACTTTATCGATGATGAAGCGGGAGTTTCGGGAGACGAATCTAGTGACGACGACGACTTTATTAATACGCAATCGCAACACTTCAATGTAACCGAGCAATATGAAGAAGATGATCCATCGGTTGATATGCAAGCCAAATATTTACAGTCAATACGGTGCGTAAACAATTGAGCATTGTATTGTGTATACTCGTACACTTGTTCTTATCTATTTATCCTCTATAAAAAAATAGGAGCCCAGTTGGTCGACGCCGTCATTTCCGTATACCCAGCATTGGCTATCGCAACCCAACAGCAACACAGAATCTTTTCTCGCAATTTGTTGCACCAGATCAATCCAGATATGAAGAGGTTATTTCATTTTAAATTTACATTGAAATTTCGAATTAAAAATAAATTTCCAACATAATTATACAGGATTCCTTTGTTGTGGGCAGCGACGAAGATGAAGAAGAAGAGGAGGGGAATGAGTCCGATTGCACTGTGATATCTAACGATGTTTCAACAGATTTCGATGAAATCACAATTGCGCCGATCAAATCGAACAAACGAAAATCCGATGAAACCAAACAGTCCAGGGCGAAAAAACGGCTTCGAATTATCGAAATGAGCTCAGACAGTGATTAAATGGCATGTGTCCAATTGAATGGAATTTTTGAAAGTCAAATAGAATCTGCAAATATACGAAGCATATAAGTTTTTGTTATTGTTCTTGTTAACGAAAAAGTTGTTGGAAATTTTGTGAATAAACGACACTCAAACATATCTCTTATGTGTTTTTCTTTCTTTATTGACATTTTCTTTACTTAAATCTATTTGGACTTATCCTAATTGCGGTCGAGAATACACTAGGGTGTTTTTCATAACCGTCATATGATGCATTGAAGAAATCATATCCATATCACGGTAATCTGATGCCATTTTGACATTATTGGCTTTTTTGAATGGTATTTATTCAAAAAATACTTTTATGTTTGGTCAAGTATGGCGCCGACTGCAAACATCCAAGAAATCTGGAAAATTGTCGAAAATCGTAATTTTTTCTCGAATACTACACTGAGAAAAGGCTGGAAGGAAATATTCCAACCCTGCGTTGTAAATGTTGTCATGGCAGATGATTTTGTGAATTGTCCAACCATGGTTGGAATTTGACAAGTGCGGGAATGCTGTCAATATTCCAAGCATGGTTGGACAATTCACAAAATCGTCTGCAATGACAACATTTACAACGCAGGGTTGGAATATTTCCTTCCAACCTTTTCTCAGTGTACAGTATCTCCAAGAAAACCATCAAAATTTTAATTCGACCTGCAACGATTAAATCTATTAAATATTTGCACGCAATTTGATCACACCCTGTAAGAAACCCAGCGAGCAAACATTCACAAAACAGTATGCAATATACTGTTTAAATTTTGGTTTTCTAGCAAATTTCAATAAATGGAGAAAAAAATCATTTACACTGTGAATTATTTCTCCTTTTTCTTCTATTCTTTTTGTAAATACTTACCTCGCCGGTGGTAAGATCGCAACGGACTGCCGCAATAAAGAATCTTATGCCTGGGTCAATTCCCAGCGCAAACACGAACTCTTTTGCCAAATATTTGCGTTTGGTTTCGGCCTCATCTTCATCAGAAAAAAAGGACGGACGGACGAACAAATTCTGCCCAATTGACACCTTTAATCTGTTCGCTGCATTACTTCGACGCCACATAAAATATTGTGCAATACATCCGTATCAATTTTCACGTGTCTGCGCTCTCTGAAAACCTGAACGAGCCTTAATAACCATAACTGAATCTTTCACTGAACAGCACCTCAAATGTGGTTCGATTTTAGCGCAAATTCATAATGTGAATACATCACTTCATAAACAAACCACTTTTGAGGTTATGTCAAGTCCGTGGTTTGTTTATGAAGTTATGTGGTGTATTCACATTATAAATCTGCGCTAAAATCAAACCACATTTGAGGTGCTATTCAGTGACAGATTCAGTTGTGGTTATTAAGGCTCGTTCAGGTTTTCAGAGCTGGAATGTGCACTTTGGAACGACTGCAAAGTTGGTGATTTCTAGACCTCCCATCACGCTTTTTCTGGAAAACGGGAAATTCGTAACAAGAAACCAGGAAGAAACAGGGAAAAAGCGGGGGAAAAGCGGAAAAAACGGGGAAAACGAAAAAAATAACGGGAAAAACGGGAAAACCCGGAAAAACCGTGCCCTGTTTGACTTAACCCTTTGATGCACAATTTTTTGTTTTTGAATCATTTTGATGTATGTTTTGTGCCACGATAAATAGAGAAAGACCTCATACTTAGATTTTTGAAAAATTGCTTTTTTTATGTAGGAACAATTTTTTTGAGTAATCGGCTATCGAAAAACTGCTATAAAATGGGACAACTCAAATCTTGGTCAAAAAACGTATTTTCCACAAATCGAATTTTTTTTCGAATGAAGAATGGTTCCAAAAAATTGTAGATAAATTGTAGAATTCAAATCAATTGTCTGTTCAAATATGTCTGCCCGTTCGTTCGATATCGGGACGAATCTTGAGTTTCATAGCTATAGCGTCTGGAAATGTGATAAAGGGTTAATTTCGATGAAACATTACAGCATATTTGTGTCCGTCAAATAAAATAAACTGTAAATTATAGTAGATTATTGGTGAAAAACGGGAAAATACTATCAAAATTGCCCAAAAACCGGGAAACGGGAACCCGGTTTTCCCCGGCGAGATGAAAAGCCTAGTGATTTCAGGCGGCTCTGGCATTTCTGGCTCTTGCACAGAGTGGATTTTTTCGGAACAGATTCGAATTTTGGCGTAGATTGGCAAAATTCATTTGAAAAAAATTGATATTGCGCTGTATATTTACGAACATGCGCAATGCTTGGAACCAATTGCGTTCTACGAATTCTTTGATGTTGAATGAGTGTGAATCATCTGGGATGTAAAGTGCTCCAACATAATACAGCTCTCTTACCCGTAGTACATTTTTTATACGGTTTGCGCGAAAGGCTACTTGATTATCGGCCATGCATTTGCTTATGTGATTGAAATCTTCAACTATCACCACAAGCGTCGTGCCAGCAGAGCTCGTCTTATGTTTACATTGGAAATACGTGTTATTGTTGTTGTAGCTTCATCGCCGTGTTTATGACCGGCGGGCTTCTGACCGGACACCATAAAAATATCCCATGGTATTCTCTGGTAATAACTCAGTCCATTGTGCTGTGTTGCGTTGCGTTGCGTTGCGTTGCGTTGCGTTGTATGAAATGAAAGAGAAGTGTCGGCTCTGCGTTTTCGTCCCAAAATCACGCGCCTAATGTGAAATCAATATCATATTCCTATAAGATGTTTGTTTACAGTTCGTTCGACACAGAGTAGTTGGAATGGTTGTCATTTCAAACGTTTGAATTTGGCAGATGCTGGCGTAGCGTTCTGAAAACATATATTTGAAATAGACGGTTTTTTACTTCGGGAAATGTGTATGTTTATTGCTCCGCTGTGTGAACACCATTAATTGATACAGAATTGTTTTCTCTTTAATTTAAAATCTACCATTTCTTTTGTTCAGATTATAAAAAACACCCTAATACAGACTTTGACTTTTCCGGTCTTTGGTAAAGCTTTTGTTATGGTCAAATTAAAATGATTTTTGTACGTAAACATCATTCTTACATCATTAACGTGAAAATTCAATATTTTCCCCGCACATTTTCTATATCACTTCAAACAAATTTAATTGAACCGTATTGCTTGAATGATTCCTTTGAAAGTGGTATTACTTTTCAACTCACTCCAATAGCCAACCATAAAAAAGAAAGAATGCAAAGTATATACAGTCATGGACAAAATTGAGTATACGATCCAACTATTGAGGTTTCATATGAAAATGTTGTGTTATACATAATACATTTTCAATCAGACAAATGTCTAATTTGTGCCAAATAGTGGTAAGTGCTCAAAAAAGATTTTCAATGGATATTATGTAATTTACCAGATTTTTTGAATCTGAGATTGGAAGCGGGATTTTCGAATTAGAAAAAATTGATACGGTTCGTTAAATATTTGTTTAATATTTGCATGTAAGGTAAAGTCGGGTCAGTTGGGACAGCGGGTCATTTGGGACACTGTCATTTTCTTGACATCTACCAGTCATAACCAAACGAAACTTTTGGAGAGTTGATTACACGCCAAATGAACGCTGTTTAGTGTTTTCACAGCAGTAAAAGCATGTGCGAAATTTGAATAAAAAATGTGTGCGAAATTTCAGAAAAAAATTCTGAAAAATTGTTAAAAGTTGTCGGGTCAGTTGGGACGGTTGACTGTAGAGGCTGTAACTTTCATTTGAGTAGGAATTTTCCGAAGATTGGAGTTACATTGGAAAGTTAAGGCCCGAAGCTGAATTTTTGCTGAAGAAAGTTTTTCGATTTTGTTACTGGAGAAAAAGTTATGTCAATTCTTTTGGGTGATGTCCCAACTGACCCGACACCTTTTTTTTGGCCAAAAATATGACACTTGTAAAAATCGACACAACTTTTTTTCAGCAACATAATCGAAGGACTCTCTTCGGCGAAAAGTTAGCTTTTGTGAATACTTTTCCAACGGTACCATATTCTTTGAAAAATCATTATCCAAATGAAAGTTCTTACTTCCAAGGCTAACCCGTCCCAACTGACCCGACTTTACCTTATTGATGGCAATGAAAATTTTTTTTGACCGTCTCCATTTCCCAAACAATGGTTCGGTGGAGCAAAACATATACACCATTCCGAAACAACACAAGCTTCTGCATCATGCTGTATCCCCACTTTTTCAATTTCTGTGATTTTCCTCTATTTAAACAAATATTTAACGAACCGTATACTCAATTTTTTCCAATTCGAAAATCCTGCTTCTAATCCCGGATTCAAAAAATCTGGTAAATTACATAATATCCATTGAAAATCTTGTTTGGGCACTCAATTTACACTATTTGGCACAAATTATATTTTTTATCTGATTGGAAAAGCATTAAAAAGTACACAAAATTTTCAAATGAAACCTTAATAGTTGGATCGTATACTCAATTTTGTCCATGACTGTATATATATACTATAGTATCGTCAACAAAAAGAATAAGGGATACCGAAATGTCTTGGAATGGGGTGAAGATTCGAAACTGATAAGAAATGGGCCATTGTAAAATTCTTTATCTTCACAACTTTACAGTGTCCCTCAACGACACGGAATCCTATCACGTATCATCAATGAACAGAAAATGAACAAAAAAATTATTTAACGAAAATTATTTCATTGCTATACATTCCGCATATACACTTGGCCTACGAACAATTTGACTTTTGTACTTGGATAATATTGACATTTAGCTGATGGGTGTTTCGAGTAGACACGAACTACCTATATATCTCTTCCCAACAACATCGAATTAATTTAACCCTCTAATGCATTAATTTTTCCCAGGGCGAGTTTAAATGGGAGTACTGGTACTTGGTTAATTTTTGGCCATAGATAATTAAAAAAATGTTTATAATCCTGGATTCCTCATGGTTAATTCAGGAAATACGATTGACATAAATCAGAAAACAATCAAATCCATTGTTTAAAAGTGTCAAAAATGTGTCTAATTTGGAGTTCGAATAATTTATTTTGTCAAATTTTTGTTTTTGCTCACATTTTTGTCTATAACTTTACAAACACACTACATAGACAAATATTGCCAAGAACAAAAATGAAGAAAAAACATTGACAAATAAAAATTCCTTCTGAAGCAATGTGATCCGATGTACGGTTTACGTTCTACAGGCGTTCAAATGTTGCCCGTCTAGAGGCGTTTGTATGCATTAGAGGGTTAAGTTAATTATTGATTGTATTTGAAATGATAATTTAGAAAGTGTTCTAAATTATTGATTTTGAAATTATAACTTTTACGTTTTACTGTTAAACGGTGTAAAGAAACTTGGTCTTGAATTTATGGATTTATGTGTACGTATTTGCGTCCGATGTGTATCGAGAAACCCCATCTCTTACTTTCATATAACTTAAAACACTCCATTTTACATCATTGTCTAACTTATCCACAGTTTTTTTTAATCATATTTTAATAAAACGATAGATTAATGGCAATTCATTCTCCAAAAAAATCGTACAAATAATCGTTTGAATCGTTTTTTCAATTCAATGATGTTTTTATGCTATTTCCCTTTTTTTAGAAAACAAACAGGCTAGAAATTGAGCTATCTAATTACTTCTTTTTTGGCTTCGCATGAATCTATCGATTTATAATGAGCAGGGAAGATTTTCTGTAGGATGTTTTGATGAAGCAAAATAAAGACATAGGAATCTTGAGGTTTTTTTGGGTAAATTGACTTACTCGATTTCCATTTTTTCCGATATTGTTGCAACATACATATTTACTTATTATAATTGAACATTCATATATGACTAAAATCATTTGCATTTACAGTTTACAAGCACCTTCAAGTTTATAATCATGGTGCTCAAATTATTATATGACATCAGATCCTGTTATTGTTACTATTATTGTAGATTGATTTATAGTATTCATATACATATAAAACATATTTTTAATTTGTAAAAAATAACACTTTTTAATTCAGTTTTTCTTTTGTTATGCCTAAAATTCGCAATATTCATTGAGTCTAGTTGATTAGCATTGTTGTTTAACTTTGACTTTGGCACATGCACACGAGGAGATAATGATGATTGTGGTGACGATGAAGATAATGCTTACTTCAAATAAACTTGTGGTTTGGCTACAGTTTTTCCAATTCTGGACTCCATTCAATTGGAGTATATTGATTCTACCCCATTTAAAGTCACACTACCGCACTAGGTCTATGCATAGCGATTCATAAAGGGGAAATGAGATTGTGACGCGGATGGTAAAATTAGAAAACAATGAAATCATGCCGATGTTCCCATTGTGCATTAGAAGTATGGCTTGGTTCAAATATTTAAGTAGATAAATGGTTCGTTTTGTGGTTTCACTTTGATAGTGTCTTAGTTTGTTGACTTTCGCTGCTGTTTGAAACGTTTAATGTGATTTATTGAGAATTTAACAATCGTTGATTCCATTGATGCTGTTACTACTTCGAACCACTGTTACCATTTCTGTCCGTCGTTCCGCATTGTTTCATGAAAAAAATAATTACAATATATATTAATATTTATCCATTCACCATGTCAGCTGTTGAAGCTATGTGATAAATGCGATGACGTTCAAAAGCGCATCTAATGTTTCGCTCATGTATTGTTTTTACGACGAAATTTCTATTACAAGCAGACGTTGGCAAAGAGTGGTGTTTTTTTTTTTGGTTTTATCCCCTCTAGGATTTGAAAATGGATGACCCTCTTCCACCGATTTTTAATAGAATACACTAGATAGAATGTGTTTTGAAGCCGGCTTACAATTTTTTCGACACAATTTTGCTAGCAATTTTGTCCCCATTTGGCAATTACAGTTTATTCCCATCTAGATTTTTGAGACAATGTTTAACGATTTTTGTTGCAAGCCAAAAAAAGGTGAGTGAATAAACATAAAAATGGCATCAGGCTTTAAATGTCAATATTGTGCAAAAGTTCGAAATTAATTTTGTATCTCAACACATGAGTGATTGATCGTTGCACTCTGTCGAAGCATTCGGATGACAATGTATCTATAAACCTTTGGCTTGGACAAAATGCATTTTCATATAATACATGTATATATACCTGTAATATCTGATGTGCTTGTGTGACCTGTTGCCTCGGCTATTGTCGTGGTTGTGGCAAAGGTACAGCGCTTCTGTCGCTTTAGAGCTGGTTTTCGCGTATGATAATATTGCTGATGGGCTGAACGATGGCAATGATGTCTGTTATTGATTGTTTGCATACTCCGCGATCCATCCATACTGTCGCATGAGCTACAAGTGTTCAGGTACCGTCATGATCGATTCCCATACTGATTCATGGATGAATAACTTGCTGCCGACGCAGCAACCATAGCAGCCACATGACACTGTTGCGAATAAACGATGCACATATTAATTCGATTTCCGTCACTTAATGGTTACAGCTTCATTCCAATGACTACATCATGTTTTCTTTTTCAGAGAAAACGGTATACTTCTCACCAAATTTGAAATACATCGACCATTCCAAAACAAATTGACCAAGAATTGGATTGACCATCTCTGAATTGGCTGAAAATTTGATTGGAGTCTGGTTAGGGCTGTAACTGGCACACATTTTCGAGTATTCGTAGTTTAACTTTGCCAGAAATTCATCTCGAAGAATAAACAAATGCGCTTGCGGCACCTGAAATCTAACTGAGAAGTAGTCACAAACAACACACTGCCAAACTACTAGTACCTTTGGAAAGGGAATTGATGAGAATTTTTGAATTGCAACAAACACAAATCTATTCATCTTACGGACGTAAAATATTTTAATATATTTTCGAGATTTCTTGCAAAGTTTAACTACGAATACTCAAAAATGTGTGTCAGTTACAGCCCTAACATTTTGGTTTTCATTTTTTCCTCACCAAAACAAGACTCCTTTCAAACTTTCATCCAATTTGGAGGTGGTCGATCCGATTCTTGGTCGATTTGGTGTGGCATACCGACCTATGTGAATTTGAATTTTAATGATTTATTTTGGAATTTTAGATCAAAAAATGGTAAAAAGTGTACTTTACACCAGACGTGGGCACGATTCGAAATTTTAAGGAAGTCAGACGTTAAAAAGGAAACATTTGTGGGGAAGGGGTTTAAGGACAGTATTTCATTGGTGGGGGTCAAAACAGTTTTGTTGGAAAATGCAGAGAAGGGGGGGGGGGGGGTTTAATTTATAAACACAACAAAATTCATTCAATGAAAAAAGTGCGAAAGTAAAATTTATTGTGAAATTTTTTTAAATGTTGATACATGATTTTTGATTTGAATTTTATTCATCATCATCTGTGTCTTCAAAACCACATCTATGTGCTCCATTCTTCAATTCATTGCTTAAAAACTAAATACAAAAAAATTAAGAACAGTTTTTTTCCGATTATGAATAGTGTAGTGATAAAATAAACTTATTGTGGGTTCAAATCGAATGTCAGAAAAAAATCGATCAGAAAATTGTGCTTTTAAAAAGATATTTCTTTTTTACTTTCTACGTTTTCTTCTTCTAAAAGAGAGATTTCTCTATCATCCGTATAACTTTTTGACCTACCTTTATAGTCGCTGACAAAATGACCGTTTTGGGTCCACTTTTTTGCATACTTCGCAGTTGCAAAGTATGACAAATCGTCCGGTTCATTCAACTTAATCCACATAATTGCGTTCAAGTTGACAGGAGACAATCGGCTCCTGTGTGTGTCGTTAAAAAAGTGTCCATTCCTTTTTTGAATACACAGATGTGGTTTTGAACACACAGATGATGATGAATAAAATTCAAATCAAAATCATGTATCAACGTTTATAGTGACGCAAATCATGGGTGTTAAATGTCATTCAACGCCACTAAGCTGTAGACATCTCTCTCCGGCTATACGGCAAACAACAAAACCAACACTGAACATGAAAATGACATGTTCAATTGTGTTTGTTTCGTTAGTTTCAACTGTGCCGCTACGAGAGGTCACTTTTTTCGTTTCTTGTTGTTATTTTACATGTAAAATCAATGGTATTAGACAAGGATGACGCAAATAAAAACTTAAAGTGTATACAAATAAAAATGTAAACGTAACGTTTGTTTTTTTATTATTTACTTGATGCGATGAGAATCTAATTTTTTGGGGGAAGGGGGGGGATTCAGATCCTTTGTTTTCATTATAAAAAATTTAGGGGGGGTCACGACCAGCAAAATTAGAGGGGGGAAATCCGGACGTTACCATCTCCAGGTGGGGGGGTAAATCCAGAACCCCCCAGTGCCCACGTCTGATTTACACACAATGCCTTATTGAATTTGAAATTTTATTGTTTTCAAATGCATAGTTTCAACTTGAAATTTTTTTAACAACCAACATCATCTCCCTTATCGTTTAGATAACGTAAGTATATTTCATTTTAAACAAAGGAAAGGAATAATGGAACAAAGCGGTGTGCACAAATTTTCGTATGTGTTTATAAACGAAAACATACGCTGATTTTCTCGATCCAGTAATATAAAAACGAAACACAATCAGCTTAATATGCAACGGACAACAGACCACGGACATGTGCAGCGTGCACAACTAACAATATGTGTGCCTCTGTATCTTCAAGTACATGAATCTAACTAGCATCGGAGAGGACAAACCAAACTAAACAATAAATATTACAAACTATTTACATTTAGAAAAAAAAATAAACAAAGTGAAAATCATTTATATCATTGCTTGCGCTAAGCCAGAGTTTCCTTCCTCTGAAGCTGTCAAATGTATACAAAGACATGTCGCTTTCATTTGTTCTCAAATTTAGCGCAAAATAAAAAACGTATTTCATAAAATTAAATAGGTAAAATTCATCATAGGTATGTAAACCGGTGGAATATTATTCTAAGTTTGCACTCCAGCGCAACAGTGAATTCGGGTATGAATGGTGTAATAGGAAAATGTGTCTTTGTTTTGGTTTGGTTTGGTGAGTTGGTTTGTTGTTATTTGGTTTGTGTGGAGACTGGAGTGTACATGAATTTATGTGGGTTTGTGTGGTGCATTGACCACAAAATATTACGAAACTGCACATAATTTATTGTCCCCATAATACCCAACGTTTGTAACGGTTGATAAACGAATACTAAAGGAAAGTTGAACTCGCATTCACTTTAGCAAAAAATTTGACAGAGTATAATTTGATTGTACGAACGAGTTTCTCTCAAATTTTTCAATAAGTAGCCAATTGAAAAGTTGTAAACCTCAATAAAACCAGTTTGTAGTTTAGTGTTCATGTTCATATTTACTTCAATGGGTTTCTCATTCAGAATCGAATGGATGTAAGAAAGCGATTTTGCAAGAAAGTGTCTTTGAGTATACGAAATATATGAAATTTTTAAGTACTTCCCAAAGTTTTTCGAATTTTTTGTTTTGAAAATAGCACATTTTCATTGTATTATTTTTTTTCTCTGAGTTTGTTATTCAATTTGTGAGAAATTAATAAAGTTGGTTTTAAAAAATTTAGACAAATTTAAAAATTCCTAATTCACATATGCAGACAATGCGTTGTGAAAATGAAGAAGCGAAATAGAACCCATAGAACTGAAACAATGTGTCCAAAACGCATGAATACGGCATCGCATAAGGCAGTTATCGTATAAATATCGCGCGATAATTTTCTGCTTGCGTTGCCGCAGTACACGATATTTCAATGGCCATCATCTTGCTACGCTCGCTTGCGTTCGCTTCGTTATATGTGTAAAGCAATTCGAAATATCGTATACTGCGGCAACGCAAGCAGAAAATTATCGCGCGATATTTATGCGATAACTGCCTTATGCGATGCCGTATTTATGCGTTTTGGACACATTGAACCGAAACGAGAGCGACCCGAGGCGCGCGAGTGGACGAATTTTTCAAAACCAACTTTATTAATTTCTCACAAATTGAATAACAAACTCAGAGAAAAAATAATATAATGAAAATCTGCTATTTTCAAAACAAAAAAATTCACCCACAGAACCAATAACACGTGCCATTCAAATTTTCTGTCATTCCATCAATTTATGCCCAGCGAAGCGGGCTGGGCTACGCTTGTTTATTATAAGAAGTTGACCACTTTGAATGGTATAAGTAGGTAACCCAATGAGGAATTATGGTATTCTTGTAACGCGTATTGTATGAAAATGTACACCGTTTGTGCACACACTGTGTACATTTTCATTACAAAATTGTTACAGATATTGTACACATTCCTCATTGGGAAACTCAGGTTATTTGATAACACTAGTCAACAATTGTGGAAAAAATTCGTCCTGGGTATTTGATACAAAATTATTCCCATAACCTAAGAACATATTTAACCTGTTTTCTTGGTTTCAATATAGATGTTTTGTTGAAAAACATGAAGAAAAAAATCATCAAAATCGCAAAATGAAATTATGTGAACACGAATTAATATAGGAAAACCATAGGAGTGATGAAATAACATCACTGTGATGTTCTTAGGCTATGGTAATTTTTTTTTGTAATAGTACGATTCATAGGACCGAAAATCATGTTTACTAATGCTGTATGTGTATAACATACATGATTTAACGACAAAAAAAACAACGTTAATATTGTAAAATGGAAAAGAAGGAGAAGAAAATCGGCAAAAGCAAGAGCAACGAGCGAGAAGAAGAAGCGACAACAAGAAATGCTTTCGGCGTGAGTTACATATTTCTAAAAATATACGTGCAATATTATAATGATTTCTGAAACGAATAATGTACGTAGGACCTGTTAAATATATTCGATGTTCCATTTTATGCAAGATGAGCTGAAGCAACGCTTACAGCTAAACGGGAAAAGAAACACGAAGAAAAAATATTCCATTTGGTAAAATATAGGGAACTCGAGTTGAATGGGACTGTGCTAGATGGTGTTGCCACATCATGGAACGGTACAAATTTCAGAATATTCGATGAAAGACTATCGACAAAATGCAAGACACCAAATGTGAAATAGGCACATGGCGAAGATATGTGTTGTCTTTATTAGAATACCGCTAAAGGGTTATTATGTGCGATTTTTTTCCCTCATTTATCTTATTAGATTCAGCTCTGCCTATGCTTCTGCATTTTCAAGTAGAATAGAATGATTTTTTTTATTGAAACATGCCATAGTCACATTATTATGGTTGGAAGCTTTAGAGTCGTTTTTGGTATACCTTTTTTCTCTTCATCATTTTGTGTTTTGTTCTTGCCGCCGAATAACAATACCTGTATGATTTGCATTTCACCAAGGGGCCAATCATAGCTTAATATTCTATAAACAGTACCAAATATATAAATGATATTTAGAAATAAAGAAACGTTCGTTTTCATAAGTTTTGATTTGCTTGGAGAGTCAGTCATTTCATTGCCTCTCTCTCTAGGGGCAAGACACGGTATAAATTTGTCCTAATTCAACTATTTCGAACGATTTTTTCATTGTTTCTTCTAATTCCATGAGTTTTTGCTAATTTTTTAGTTTTTACTTCCATACATTTAGTATTACCAATGCATTTCTTATGGAGATTTTTGTTTTGTTTATTTATTGTTGTTTGTAAACAAATCTGCCTATCTTTTTGCATTGTCTCTATGTATTGCTTATGGACATATACTATGAACAGTGCAATGCGTTGATATAGGCAGACTTGTTGACAACACACTCAATATTATAGCGACATCTATTATTAAAATAGCTTGTAGTAAATGCATTTATAGCATTTCCCTGTAGTTGCGATGTTTCCTATTAAGTTCCCTTGTAGTACTGACACATTCATGTTTGACACTTGTTAACTACATACCACAGGGGAATTTAATAGGTAACATCGCAACTACAGTGAAATGCTATGAATGCGTTTACTACAAGCTATTTTAATAATAGATGTCGCTATAATATTGAGTGTGAAATAACGGTAAATAAACAAAACAACCTCCATAAGGAAATGTATTGGCAATGCTATATGTATGGAACAAACAAGTTTCAGTCTCTCTAATTTCTGCTAATTTTGCTATTTTTGAACGAAATATCACTATTTTTTTAATCGTGTCTGTCCCCTAGCTCTCTCTTGTGGTTTTATTCGCATCACAACAAATTCATCTTGACCAATTTTTGCATAAAAATATTAGATTTGAAGAGTGTGGACACTCGGGGTGAAACACATTTTACAACAAAATAACCGTAATAAATGAAAAATGTAGATTAATTGAGACCAAAAAAAAACTTAATCATATTTTGAGTTTACGGAACATATTATCAATATAATAATATATTACTACGTGAAAAATGTAATAGGGAGTTATCCTGTTTTTTTTTTACCATGATAAACAATAAAAAAATAAAAATTTAACAAGGGCATTTTCGAATATGTGAGTAAATTTTGATTGGCTCTTATATCAAAATATCCATTCACTCACTGATTTTTTTTTCTTGAATTTGCCCAAATATAGTTTGCAGAAGTGTTTTGAAACGTAACTTTTATAACAATATTTTGATGTAATTTTGCCTAGAGAAGAAATATTGATGGTGCATAAAGTTGATGTAGAAGTGAGAATAATATTATTGCAGTCACTGAATGAAATAGACGCATTTGTTTCATTTGAATTTTTTCTTTCAATGGGTACCTTTTCAAAGATTATATTGGGGAATATTCACCAAATGAAAGTAAAGCCTTTGCCGAGTATTTAACCATAAATTGCGTTCGGAGTGGAGATTTAACTTAAGAAGGTCTACATTCATCTAATTTTTATGTGCAGGTGTTTGTGTGTAGGTGAGTTTTTGGACGTGCATTTTTACGAAAAAGCTGAGATATAAGCGCTTCAGTGATGATGCTGTACAATTAGTTCATTGAATGCGAACATTTAGCAGGTAATATTTAAGACTTCATTGAACCGGGATTAGTGCAAGAAACGGTGTTTAAACGAAGGAAATGATTTGTTGTCGGTTCTTGATCTTATTTTGATACTTTTACATGACTACGTACCTGTCGAACCTGGTAAGTGAAAAGGTCGCGCGTTACAAGTTTTTTGTGTTCTTTATTTTCTCATTTATTTCTTTCATTTTGATTTCTCTTATTCAGTTTTGGTTTCTTTTAAATCTGTCCCTCTTTTTTGCGTTGTGCATCAAATGGAAAGTATGTATTTGTATCACTCAAATAAAAGGACGGTGTGCAAACAGAACATCTGAACATTGCTTATAAACCAGCTTTTCGTCGATACATTCTCTGTGAGCTCAGAATTTTTTTTTTTTCTCTTTTTATAATTTTTTTCCACATGGAGCTACTTTTAAATTCCACTCTCATTGAGCGCGCAAATTTCGTATCTTTAGAAGCCTTTGTGCGCAAATAAGACTTTGTAAGTGCTAAGCTCGCTGCGATTGGTTCAGTTTTTTTGGTTTTCTCAGTATGTACTCTTTGTTTTGTGTTGTGTGTGTATGTGTTTGTCTGTATTTCTTTGTATTGACTGTTGCACATTTTTCACCTAAATTTGTTCATTTCTGTTTTTATCAATGATTTTAACTATATTTTGAGTCGATTCCTAAATATAAGTTTGTTCACAAGAATTTTGCCGCACTTGTTGCAAACCGTGAAGGGAACACGTTGAATAACATCTTCTTGATGCAAATCTCTGTGAAATACGGAAATACGAATAATTTGAAATAGGAAACAGTTGAAGCGGTCAATTGGTTGGTTTATGGTTTTGGCTAAACGCAAATAAATAATTGACCAAGTATTATTGGGTATGGCTACCATATTGTAGTCACTGTCGAAATTGTTCAGTTTGTTTTCAATTATTCGCTCAAATCGTTGCAGCAAATTATTGTTCACACAAAAAATCAGTCAACCAAAAAGTTATTGATACTTCCAATTTTGACGGCCTCAGATGTCTTACCTGAGATTTTGAACGCATCGTTGGTTGGTATTTCCGTCGAATTTTCCGGGGACAACAAACACACAGAATTCTCACGAAGGCTCTGCAAAATAATAAAAGACCAAACAGTTGTAATGAAAATAAGAATGTATTTTTAATGTAATAGCCAATAGATGTAGTTCAATCCTTCCAATTTCCTATACACTAGCGTAACTAGATGGAAGGAGTTTGAGGTTCTAATTATTTATATATATCCACAACAAGAATTTCATTCCCAGTGCAAACAGAGCAAGTTGAAAAAGTCACTTCAATTCGACCTATTTTTCGAATATGAAATGGCTTCAGATCGCATTGTAACCACCATTGTTTATAATTGAAAGGATACGGCGTTTTTTGAGCCTTTTTTTAGCTAGTCGATACCTATTTTTGGCTGCGTTTTCGTCGTAGGAAGTGACTCTTCGCACAGTCAATTTCGTTCAGTAATGAATCGGCGATGCTCAGAACTTCGAAATACGAATTTTCCCGACAATATGGCATACGCCATTTTGTTTATATAGTGGCCGACTACTAGTGCACAGTTTTTGGTCAAAATCGTTTGGGCGAATTATGGAGTAATCGCGTTCAGTGTGAAATTTAAGGCAACGAACAAATAGCTGTATATATGAAATATTTTCGAATATTTTAAAATACACCATATATTTTGAATATTTAATCATGATTTGTTCACAAAATTCATCTTGATATTTTCGTATATTTGACATATTTGGCTATATTTCAAATATGCCGCATATTTGAAATATGACGGAATGTCACTGTAAATAGAGAAATATACGAAAGTATTGTCATATTTTAGGCGTCGCAAGCTCTTAGATTCAAGGAGGTCGACTTTTCATAAAAATTGACTTTTTTTCTTTTATATGACACACTCAAAATGAACCGTAGTAAATTTTTGAATATTTTATTCGTATATATTACGATGGCTTTGTAATATCTACGATTGATTTGTGCATATTACGATGAAGCCTTTTTGAATTTGAGAAAGTTACAGATTTACGAATATATTCGTGTATTTTACTATGGCATCCGTGGTTTTGCATCGAGAAATACGTCATCAATGTTGCGATGAAGTTGTATTCATTTTACGATACAGTTGTTTACAGTGTTTCGAAGCGCGTGAATTTTGAGGTGGGTAGCATACCCACTTTCACGAAGAAGCAATGAAACCATAACTATCATGCATAGTAGTATTTACGAATGCAATCGTAGAATGTACGAATATTTCAACCGATGCAAAATTCAATCGTAAAATACAGTAATAATGGGTGTTTCTTTTAAGAGTGATAGAACTTTTTTTTCGAATAAAACATAAAATTAATGAAATGACCAATATTTTGGCTTTATTAGCTCACAAATGCGTGGGTATTTATTCTTTAAATATTACTTTGGGGACATGACCTCACCCCGTCCTTTTTTGGGGGGACCCCGAATGGTCAATTTTTTAGCTACTTTTTTCTTGCTTTCACATGCACATATTTGCCCATTAAAGTGACCTAGCGCCCAAAATATTGTCGGGTTTTGGCCAAAATTTGTATGATTCCATAAAATAAATACGAATAAGACCAAAACTCATTAGTTGGTGTCGATTTCATTAATTTTTCTATGTTTTATTCGAAAAAAAAGTTCTATAACTCTAAAAAACACCCTTTATATTAGTAAATAGTACCACGTTATATGTTGAGTGCATAAACATTGCCAATATTCAATTGATACTTTGAATATTTATTTAATGCACTATCTGAACTGAAGCTCTTCAATAGCTCCTGGTCTAAGAATGTGTTGTGAATATGAAAAAAAAATCTACCAAAAAACTCCGGCAGAAGATGTTGTTTTCAGTATCTACATATACAGCCTAAGACAAAAAATGATGCATTAAAAAAAATGTTGTTTCAAGTTTTCCCGAGTTGTTCTAGGTGGTTCGAAAACGTTTTTCTAATCGGGCATTTGGTATCGATAGAAACCTCTGGCAAGCTTGGAAGTCAACCAAGCATCTCCATTGAAACAGCCACTTGAAAATTATTGCAAATTTCCAGTTTGTAACATTTACACAGTTAAATATTTGAGTGTAAGTAGAAATATTGAGATGGGTTAATATGTTAATATAGAGACTCATACCAATCTAAGATGAATCTACTCCAAAAATTTGGTGAAATGAGCTATCATTCCAGTATCACTACTTGCAAATATTTTGCTAAGAAACGTAATTTTGTTTGTTTTCAAACTGAGAGGAATTGAAGTACAGCAAAAACTAAGACTTTCTTTGTCGCGGAACTTTCCGGTTTGGTCACCAATGGGCCAGCCATTCAAAAGTCCAAAAAAGACTTTTCTAAGGAAGAAATGGGAAATTTTTCAACCATGATAAAAAATATCAAAGAATGTGTGAAGGCTTTATATCATTTGTGCTTTTTGCAATGAAGTACAGTGTATTTGAGTCCGAAGAATTTACGCCTCGTTCTTTGCATTGTGTTATTGATGAAAAACCTTAAAGTGGTAATTTGGCCTTACGAGAGTCTGCCATTTTCTTGTAAACAGCTCCAACGATTTTCTTCTAAAATTTCTTCAATGTCAGCCACTTCCCTCAGGCTATAGGGTTGCTCAAAAAGGAGTGGATTTTCGTATCTGAGCATTATTATTTATTTTGACAAGTGTACGGTATTTACAACTTTTCCGAAGACACTTTTTGAAAATTCCCATCCGTTTAGAAGTTATAGACTTCGGAAAAACGGGAAAAACGGGAAAATCGCAATGAAACGTCCCGAGACCATTTCCAATTTGCGGAGTTTTCTAATTTCTGAGGTTTTTTCAGTTTTATCCAAAAATGGTGTATCAAATGAAAAACTGATAGGGAGAATGATTTGCTTAATTGAAACCGATATATTGAACACTGTTCAATCAAGTTATTTTAGTGATTATAAATATATAGTAAGTCTGTTAGTTTATTTTACTGGATAAACTACTCCTCGAAACAAACCGAAATAAATGATTACCGGCTGTTCTTATTATATCATACGATAGTAAACAGAAAACGTTAGCATTCTATATACAATTTTGTATATGCAAATTCTCTGATGGAACAAATCGGTTTCGATTTGTTAATGATTGAAGATTGATGATTGGCGCAGACAATATGGAACAGATTACTTCGTGACTTAATTTTTAACTTCATGGTAAAGGTCGAAAATCTCAAGCTGATCTGCTAATATAGTTATTCAACGAAATGGAAAAGACTTTCATTACGTTTTTTCATTAAAAATGAAGTAGATTTCCCTTTGTTTTGAATGAAATGATTCGGAAACCCCGTAAATTAGAAATGAACCCCGGAAATCAGAAATTTTCCATACAAATTTTCAAACCTGAAATTCATTTCTAATCTCTGAGGTTTTCTAATTTTCGGGTTTCTAATTTGCGGGGGTGCACTGTAGGGCTATGCTTTTAAGGGCATTCGTAAAAATTGGATTGAAAATTAGAACAGCTTAACTTATGAAAACTAAAACAGCTTAATTTATAGTCTTTTTTATCCTAGTATAATATTATAGCCTATATTATTATTTGAAACAGTAGATTTTGTTATATGGGTGGTACTCATTTTCGTATCTTTTGGGAAAGTTGATCTTGCATCTTCATCTATAAGAGCCTTCATTTTGGTTGTTGACATGTTGAATAGGATAACACTGTCGGAATTTTCACTATTTCTGTGTTGGTATTTCTGCAACTCTGGAAAGCTATGTATACTGCTACATGTATTTGCTTGGAGCCCTACAAGAGTTTTGCGACAACGTTTACGCAAACGTATCGCCAACCTTCCGCAATGGTTGTCACAAAATGCATTAACTGCGATCAACTTCATTCGAATTCAGCATGTTGTATTTTTAGAGGCTGCAATGGCTGATTATTCTACTTAATAATTATTTTGAATAACTTTTTATTTCTTATAAGCAACGATGAGCAACATGAAAAGTTTGAATAAAACCGTTTGAAATTATGTTTCCAATGTGATGAAGTTGGATTCGATTCGAATTTACAGGTTTACGCAATGCGATATGTCGCAGATATGTCGGCGTAATGATTTTGCGTAAACCTGTACATTGAAAAACCTATCGCAATGTGAAATATCGCGGGAAGGTTTTGCTTTACGGCGACATGTTGACGTAAACCTCAATGTATCGCAAAATTCTTGTAGGGGAACCCGGTTGACCGAAGCGCCCTCTGAAGAACCAATTGCGAGTTCGTAATGTCTGTAATAATAATCCATCAATGGGAATCCATTCTGGTAATATACGGAATTCACGGATATCCGTGATTTCCGTATATTACCAGAAATACCAACACAAAAATGTTAAAAATTCTGACAGTGAAGAATAATGAAATATTCACGCACACAGAAAATAATGCTAGGAATATCGATAGGTTCACCGTGAAATTTGACATTTCAATGAAACATTTCTCGGAATCACCTTACCAGTGTTGACATAATTTCAAACATCTAGAACTATAAATACTTTCACGGTGACAGATGGCATTGATTTGCGTTGGATATTCGGAACTTCTATTTATATATCATCTATGATGATGAAATTCAATTATCATTCGGAATATAATGAGCAATAATCAGCGAACGAATGTAGCATTACCGATGAGAGGCTTATGCATTTTCATAAGAAAAGATCAATATTATACAGATATCGTAAATTACATAAGTAAATGAACTGCTATTGTGTCAACCATGGGTGTTGAATGTTATTCAATGCCACTAAGCTGTAGACATCTCTCTCCGGCTATACGGCAAACAACAGAACCAACACTGAACATGAAAATGACATGTTAAATTGTGTTTGTTTCGTTAGTTTCAACTGTGCCGCTACGAGAGGTCACATTTGTCGTTTCTTGTTGTTATTTTACATATAAAATCAATGGTATTAGACGAGGATCTAAAATCTTGTTCATGGAAAATAATAATAATAAGAAGAAACAAAAATAAAATGAATGACTGCGGTCAACCAAGCTAACAAAAAGGAAAAAAGAAACCGAGAAAATGTTGTGCTCTCT